CACCAGGGTCTTAGCACTCTGAAGCAAACTAAATTAGAAAGCAGAAGAAAACAAAATGACTGCCATTAGCATCTTCTATTAATTCAAAAACTATTAAAACTGTTGCTACAATACCTTTTGTGTAGCAAAAAACAGCCTGTTTAATATTGTCCTGTTCCAGTGACATTTCTGCCAGTCTAACCCACTCCTCGGTATCACTTGGATTTAAGTGAGCTGCAATCAGTTCAAACTGTAGTGACTTCTCCATATCACCCTGGTCTTCATAGATCATGGCGAGAGTGGAAAATGGCTCATGAGCAAGAGGAGCTGTGAAAAGACAAAGAATGACTAAGATCTATTGGTTTAAAAACATCTTGGAGAAAAATAACTTGTCTTTCTGCAAATAACAGATATCAGAATTACATGAAACATCCACACTGGTCTGTTTAAATTCCAGAAACACTTGCAGACAAGTTTCTGATTCTTTTCTATAAATTATTAAACAGTCTGACTGAACCTAACAACAACCATTTACAGAATTATTCTACACCAAGTCATGCTGATGAATATCCCTGCATCTACAAAGACAATAAAAGCAAAGTGTAAAGCTAATCAAAGGCCTAGGCCTCTGCAGAACTGGGGTGCTGGTTTCTTTTCACAAGCAAAACAAGAAAATGCACCTCATATTCTTAATTCCAGACTACTTATACACTGACTGTCCTTATACTGATTATTTTCATCTTCAGAGAAGCCTCACTGAATACCCTCATGCACATGGAGATTTCAGCCCACCCTTAGAGCCCACCAGTTTTACCAGTGTGACACACCTTGCCGAATGATCTCCATGCACATCAGAATGGCCTCCTCACGCTCTCCTCGAGCAAACCTGATGTTGGCCTCTCCCATCAGACCCCTCAAGGCACGAGGGAGTTTGCTGCGAGGTCTCTTCTCCTAAATGCAAAAGGGATATTAATTCTGCCAGAGCTTAAGCTGTGCTCAAACTCAGGAGACATCAGTCACACTTCTGCTTACAAAACTTAATAACAAGTTATTTAGGTACTAGTGATATCAAGTGACTGACCAAAAGATCTGCTTATTTTCACAGCTGACAGAGTAACTCTGACACCTGCTGTAAACACTGAAATTCTGACACTGGAAATACTGGTTTCATGATTTTTGAAAGTCCTCAAACAGGAATCGACAGTAGTTTTTTTTTAAAAAACAAAGACAGCATAACAAATACCAGCATAAGCAGAGGTATCCTACGTGGAACTACTTCCAGGCAAATTTCTTAGCAAGCAGCTAAAATCACACAAAACTGCCATTTCTGCAGCATGGTCAGGAGATACAGAGGAGTTAGAAGAAACTTTAAATACTTGCTTTCATCATTTTCTTGGTCTCTCGATTAAGTACCATCTCCAAAACAAAAACATCTCCAGCCGTTGGCTGCTCAGTAGTTTGTTCCTCTTCTTCCTCTTCTTCTTCCTCTTCCTCCTCCTCTTCATTTTCCCCGATCATGGATGCAAAGACCCGATGAACAGATTTACTGACCCCATCCAATGTTTCTCCTGGTTGAGGAAGAAGCAAGGAAGGTTTATGATGTAATCAGGAGTACAAGCTGCTTATCAGGACAAGTGCAGAGAAAACAGCAGCCCATTTGAAGCAGCTATTCTATAAGAACCCTGCCTGCAGAACTGCAGCAAAACTAATAACAGCCTCTGTGGTTTTAAAACTCTGCATTATTCACTAGCAATGCTCAGCATACCCCAGTCTCTAACATTTTTTGGATATCTGAAATGAAAGCACAGAGGAACACAAAGAATGAAGCAACAGTTTATTCGACATTTTTCTCAATCCATCCAAGAGAAGCATATTCATTTTCAAGCACCTAGATGGCTGGCTGGAATAAAGCTTTTCAGCTGAAGAGGCTATAAATGAACAGACAATTCCACTACACAAAAATGCAGCAACCAATTTTTAGAAGTGATTGAAAACAAGATCTTGTGACCATTCCATCCATGACAATAAGTACCTTTTAACATGTGTTAATGCAAAATCCAGATTATTCACATTTCTCTAGAAAAATAGCAGAATTCTTAAAATAAGTAAGAAAATGATGCAATATAATCCAAATAAATATGCTTAAAGCATACAATTTTTAAAATTCTGACATTTTCTATTTACAATTTCTCATTACTAAGTTAACCCAGGGTTGTAACTGACCACAGATCTACATGCAAACCATCCAAATACGTGGGGTTCAAACGTTTCAGCTGGGGGACTGGGCACCTAAAGATTTGATGAAAGAATAATCACAGTATCAGGTTGGGACTGAAAAACAAATCTATCATGTATTGCCTATACAGAGGAGGGAATTGGGGACTACATCTGAGTTTATGGTTGTTTTCTTCTTCTTTTTTTTTTTTTTTTCTGATTTGGATATGTTCAGTTATTTTTATTCTGACTTGGATATCAAGCATCTAACAATCAAGACTTTTCTCCCTACCCCCTCCATCTGAAAAAAACCTCCAATTATTAATTTAATTTCCCTTTTATTTCAGTATCCTTGGCTGCAGGAATCACCTTAAGACTGCAGCAGATTACACCTGAAGATCTGTGTATCAAAAGTGACCTTAACAACGACCTCATCTAACATTCTTTTATCTAACATTTTTTATGCTTCTGAATATCTTAGGTCTGGTTCTAATACCAACTCTATAAATAGTGATAAATCTTATCAGTGCTTCCTTGATTCTATCTGTTCTTGGCACTTCTGTGCTCTCTGTAGTAAGAGCAGAAGTAACACTATCACACAAACCTATCAGGATATCTTTTTCTTAAATAAAGACAATGTGCATTAAAAAAACATGGGAATACAGAGGTGGAATACAGAGCAGAACAGAGCAGCTGGGAAGTATTTCAGAGACATGAATCTGTAGCTAGGAATAGCCAGAAGAAAATAAGAAGAGAAATAATCATAGGCACTCCAAAAAGGCCAAAGGATAACTTAGCAAAAGGGAAAAAAAAGAACCCCAAAGAAAGAGAAACAAATAAACTCCTCTTTTACAGCTATTGTACTTCACTTTGGTTGACAACGGAAGGCGGCAACACTCATCACACAGAATACTCTGGAAAAAGTCAAATCTCAGCAGAAGACTAGCAAAGATAATAACAAAAAAAAAAGTCAACACAAACCAGAAAAAAGTCAACACAAACCAGAAAAGACTTACTGAGATCAGCTAAGCAGTTCAATTTATTTGTAACTTTAGAGAGAGTAATTAATTGAGACCATACGGTTAAGAAGTCAGAAGGGGAAAAATGGAGCCAGGTTTTATAAAAACTCAGTTACTGAAGAGCAAATGCTTTCAATGATTTTTTTTTAAACAAAAATTATTATGTTAACACATACCATCAGCTTCATCCTGACTTTGGGATTTCGAAGATGCTTTTTTGGATGAAGATGGAGCCTCCGCATCCTCATCGTTTTCCTCAGCAGACGCATTTCCGCCATCCTACACAACCAACAACATTAGTTATCAGCTTTATCATGTGACCCATTCTTATTTCCCCTAATATCTACGATTTTCATTTAGACCACGGTTTTCCATGCACTGCTAGTGAAACAGATGGAATAAGTGCTGTATTTTTAAGTGAACAAAATCCAGCACTACTTGTTTTCAAGACATTTCTGTTCTTATCAAGGTTAGATGAATCAGATGGTGACTGATCACATTACTTTTGACTAAAGAGACTATCCACTGCTTATCTGGCATTACAGTGAGGTAAGATGACATGGTTGACTGTATTAAAAAAAAAAAAGTTAGAAATCTGTGACAAATCCTTCCAAAATCCTGCCTTTTTAAACACAAAATGAAATATATCAAAGTAGCACTTGTTAACCCAGTAAGAGTGTTACCCTAGGATAACACCTGTCCTTCCCTAGGATAACACAGGTGAGTTCTGATGAATTTCCTCTTGAAATACAGAAATCCAGTTGCACTTAAAGATGGACAAGGTTAACTGCAACAATCACATAAATCATACAGATCTCTCTTAATACCACCGTCTGCCTATTTTAAGACACAAAACTGTGCCTCCCTGCTTGTGTTTCTGCCAAGAAGCTAAACGAGGAGCCAAACTGCATCTCTGCCTTAGACTTCACACAGGAGATGGTGGTGGAGCTGTAGCAACGTACACTGGATCATTTTATATCCCAACCTGCTTCTGCTCAGTGCTCCTACCCGAAGCCCCGACGAGCCGCGGGGCCGGACGGCGCTGCCCAAGCCGTGCCAGGGCCGGCGCCCCGACCCACCCCGGCAGGGCCCGCAGCGCGGCCAGGCGGGGCACACTGACCTTCTCGCGGCTCTTGCGCTCCTCCCGCCGCTGCTCGAACTCCTCGAAGGAGATCTTCCCCTCCAGGTACTCGATCAGCTCCGGGCTGAAGCCCGACATGGCTCCGCCTGGGCCCGCACCGGGGGAACGTTGCGCAGGAGGCACCGCGTCCCGCCCGCTACAGCGCCCGCCGCAGCCCGCACCCTCACGCTGGAGTTCCGGGCGGCGCCAGGGCCGGGGCGGCTGGAGGGACTCCCGATCCCGGGGGGCTCCCGATCCTGAGGGACTCCCGATCCCGGGGGATTCCGGGAGCCGCGGGGACTCCTGCCTCTGGGAGGCTGCGGGCGGTGCCGCTGCTGCGCTCGCTGCCTGGGAGGGAGCGGGCTCTGAGCTCAGGGTTGTGAGGGCAAGTCCTGTCACCGACCTCAGTGCAGCTGGCAGGTTATTTCCTCAGAAATACGGAACCGTTTTACACGAGAAGAGGTTTTGTAACTCCATCTGAAGATACAGTGATGGTGCGGGTGACTTACTGACTGGGGCAGGGTCAGAAAAGGGTGTGGGGGCTGGGGGGGGAGGCACAAGCAACCCCTGGCCAGTGTTCACTTCAGCCACTCGAGAAAGGAAAGGGCTTTCAGCAAAAGTGTAACTGAAAAATCGCCACAAAACACCTCACGACACCTATTTCTAACAAATTCAAAGCTAACATTTTCCCGGTTCTGCACAAAGACACTTAGCAGTAGTCGAAAGCGCTCTGTTGCGCTCCTGGTTTATTCACGCTCAAACACAATTCTGCTCAGCCGACTGCAGCAGCCAAACAGCACACATTTGTCAAGAGACCGAATATTTGCTAATTACAGCATGACATCACATTCCATAGGTAGGAACTGTGACGGTGAAGAACATTTTAAATTGTCGAGTAACAGAAAGTCAAAGCAGTAAAATTTTGCTGTGAAGGTTATCACTTCGCATGAAGTTCTACAGCCTGTAAAACAAAAGCAAAAACAAACAAACAAAAAAAGTGAGACAAATACAGAAATATCTATATATGCAACCAAGATTTGATCCAAATCAAGACCTGGTAACACTGGCTGAAACAGCCCAGCTGAGCACAGCAGACCTCAGCTTCCAGAAAATAGTTCTGAACACAGAAAAGAACTGCCGTGACCAGCCTGAATTATGCAGGACAAACTACTTCTACCAGTCACTTTCTCATTGCTGCTGTGACTTACAGTGGAGCTACAGCATCCTTTCTAAAGTCCCCTTTCATTTATTTTTCATGCAAAATATTCAATCTGTGATGCCTTTTTTTTTTTCCCCCCTGACATAAAAGCTCAGCAAAAAGAGAACTTAGTATTAAAATCTGAGTGCAGTCTTCATTCTGATTCATGATAGTAACAGTAGTGGAGCTTCACTTTTGATTACAAAGAGCAATGTGGTTAAGCAGGCAGAGAGCAGGACAGAGATGGAAATCCTAGGCTTAGTACTGATCACAAAATTAAGCTCTTTAAGATACTGAGTAAATCACCAAAGTGCTTAGATTTAAACCTTACTGAAATCTTCAACTATTTGTCAGAAGAAAACAATGAATTACCTTTCCTCAGAATTGCCAATATTCACTTTTAAAAGGCGATACAAAAAAGGATCTATTTGTTACTGAGTATGGTTATTCATACATAAAATAGCTGAGAAGTACCTCCTATAAATTGGACTGGATTTATTAATAATGCAAGTTTAACCCACTACAATTTTGTTTGCGCATAAGATGTGTATAAGGTGCAATCCTTCTATCAACCTTCAATTTTAGTCATAGAAATAAAGAAAACGGCAGCAATGGACCAAGATAAATAATGTATGCTTTGTTAGTGCAATATCTTTTGTCTAAATTAATTTTCTTAATATGCATATATCAAAAGAAACCATTAGTCTTAACTTTAAATTTACTGGTATCAATTACTTACATAAAATCTTCATTCCCTATTACCTGTACATTTTCAAAATGGCTTTCCACATGAAAGAGGGGAGAAAAAAAGAGGAAATAAAAAAGCATGGTCTATATAGGCTTGCACAAGAACCACGTGTTATTTTATCTAAGTAGTTAATACCTCATAAATCTCTACCTCAAGAAGTTTAAAATCATTTCAAGCAAGAGTTAAGGTACTACATTTTTAGTTCCTTCTAAAAAAGTAGTTGTTTTTACACTTCAGTCAGATGCAAAAATCACTGGAATCCAAATCTTTCTCTTGGTTACATGTAACAACATCAGACAACAAGGCCTCCTCTTTTACCTTGGTCAACAGCATCTTTCAGCCTTTGAAATAATTCAGAAAAGAATTTTTCCTTTCTTCGTAATCTGCAAATGCAGAAGCAATCGGATCTGCGTAGAACATGAGAGGCCTTGGTCCTTCATCATTCACAGTGACAGTAGCTGGGAACTTCCTCAGATCAAGCCCCCTGCCCGAAAAATAAGCCTGGAGCGTTCTGAAAAACTGAACATATTGCACATGTGAAATAAAGTAGAGCATGACCAATGGAGATTAATCATTTCTACTGACGCAAATTAGATGTAATATTTGTAATTCAATGTAATATTTGTTCCTCTGTGGAATGAAAGCCTCTCTATTTTGATCATCAATTGATACAACATAATAGTATGGGCAACATAACTCAGACATGTTCACTCCATCCATGGCTTCTACATCTTATGTGAAGTCAAAAGACCCCCATGTTTACTACTCACTTATGTTCCCACTGAATCACTGGGGATTCAAACTGTATCCCATCATAAAACAGCCATAGCCTGAGAGCAAACAGGACAGTCCTGTTAAACATTTCTCTAGGAGCCAGCAACAGTGGGCAACTGATTTTAACTGTGCTCTAGCAAACAGTCAAAAGTAGAAACTGATGATTCTTAAAATAGTGAGGAAAAACTATGGGTAACTGGTTTTTTTCTCCTTAGTAAATTCTTTTTAAGACTGTGCCAGTGTTCCCATAATGATATTTTCTTAGCTATAATTAACCTTCAGATCTTTAGCCACTGTTCATGACATGTTGGATGCAAATGGATTTGTACTTCCATTCAACGGAATAACATGCAATCAGAGTACACATCTGAAAGAAACACAGTAATCATTCCTCTTCTGTTTCATGAACCAAGCAGTTCTATAATCAAAAGACATTTTTAAAAACTAAAACTGCTGTAAGGAGTTTTAGTTATAGTTGCCTTATAAGGAAGCTTTATGCACTGCTGTACACTGAGAATGCCTCCTCACTTAAGGGGTTGAAAAATTACTTGACTGAAAAATGGTTATTGACTATACAAAGTGCACAGTTGCTAACAATTCATCTAATGGACCCCTATTACCTTTAAACTTAAAAGATAAAAAGTCTCTTGATGGAAAATAAAAAAAACACATAATACTTTATCTCTCTTTCTTGAAGCATTTCCTTACCAGGTCTCTGTTCCTCGGGTTATCCAGAGGTTTCCATTTTTCTTCTGGTTGGAAAGGAGCACCCTTTGCCAATCCTCTCATGGCCAGTACTATGTATAGACCCAGGAGCACAACTTTCCACATGCTGGAGATGAACAGTCTGTAAGAAGGACAAACATCCATGCTCCTTAAGTCCTACTAGTAACATATAAATCAACCACACTAAACTAAGGAAAACCTGCCTACTGCAGATTATGTCCATGTAAAAAAACTACCAGCTTCTTTTTTTTTGGTTTTCTAGTACTAAGGGATTAGGAAGAACAAATTATTCTCAGGAAGTCTCTCCCATACCAAAAATATTTTTAGACACTGGATTCTCTTTTGAGGGACTAGTAGAACATTTAACACAAAATACTATATTTGTAAATTTACATTTGTTATTAGAGTCATTTTCAGTGGCTGATTAGCTACAGCATCAGAACTCTGAGTGGTCCAAGAACTGCAAAAATATGGCTCGAGATGCAGATAGCTCAGTTTTTAAAATTGCATTAAATGAAGTTGTATTAAATATATGAAAAAGTGCAATAACAACACAGCCTGGTATTATATACTAGGGACACATTTCACAACTTGACCTAAGGGGAGAAAAAAAAATTCTCCCTTTAAAATAAAGCTTACCAGTGACTTTGGCTCCGGCTTGCCCCTTCTTGGTTGGTCTGCTCGTAATACACGAACAAACTGATCTCTGCACTTATATTTCTAGTGGACTGTAGGTGGGTGTCAATGACGTTAGCAGGAGTTCAAAAATACAGTAATGATTCCATTTCCATCCATGACATAAAGACCCTTGAGAATTTCATCCTTGATACTCTTCAGACCTGTTGCTATTGAACAGTGCAGCACAAATTCCTCCCAAGCCGTATTGCAGAAAATTGGTGGTAAGAACATCGTAAGTTTAAAACAATTCCCAGCAGAGACAGCAGAGCTGTATCAAAATATTACTTTTAATTAAAAGTAATTAGCTATATCTCTAGAATGGTGACTGACTGTTCTCAAGCAAATGAGATATAGATCATTTTCGTGATGCTGGAAAAAGAGAGAGAAAAGTAAGGTCTGTTTCAAGATCCAAAATTATAACTTCTTAAAGGAAGCACTCGTTTCCTACTCTGATTTTATCAGCAGTTAATATCCTCCTGTCAGACTAGAAACTAAGACAAGGAGGACTATGATAATTTACCCTGGCCTTATTTCATAGCACTCCTCATATCCAAGTTGTTCACATTTTTTGTTTATAATTTCACTACACTCTTTCCTCCACTGTATAGATGATAATCAATCTAATGTCACATAAAATATATCTCTAAATAGACATATTAAAACTAAAGATTTTGGATCATTACCTTAATCCAGATTATAGATATTTATTTCTGAATGCAAGCTTTACAGTTTTGTTTTAAATTTTGAAAGCAAACCAAAAACCTACCACCATCCTTCCAGAAGACAAAGTTTTGGACATCCAAACATCACTAGCAAAACAGTAAACAAAATGCTAGTAGTATTATTTTCACGTCTGCAACAGCATATAAAAATTCAAGAGAATTTCTCCAGCTTGTGTATTATTCTGCAGATTCAGATTAAAAAAAAATTCATGCCCTCAAAAAGACAATCCATCAAAACTCCATCAATTACTCTTTATAAGAGCCAACTTCCAGATAGTGAACTAATCAGGAACTCAGCAGTGGCAACTGAATAACTTGTAAATAGGCAGGCCCCTATGGAAGGGAACTTTACTGATTTTCTAGGTAGATACTTATTTCAGCCAGAAGTAGAAATATGCTCCTCTAGAGAAAATGACAGAAAGTGGAAAAAGCATGGTTTACAGTTTGGAATTAGATTTTATTTTATTATTTAGCTTTGGGAAGAGGGGAGGGAAAAAAAAAAAAACCAAACAAAAAAACCCAGAAAATCAAAACAGCCCCTTTTCCCCCCTCAATAATTTATTCCTTTGATTTCTTTACAAAGAACAAACTGGAAGATACACAGTATATCCAGCTAGTAAAACATACCAAAGTCATCTGTAAATCTGAAATGAATTATTATTGCAGGAATTCAGGCAGTCTGGGTGACTGATTAAGTATGCAGATATGCAAGAGATTCAATTGGCACTTATTCTCTGTGAGCTGTCTTTAAAAAAAAAAAGAAATCTTAACACACTTGTATAGTTGCTTCCTCAGCTAAAAGATCTGAGAAACTATTGGAGCTAAAAGTCTGTTTAGACTGATGGTTCATTTTAAAGTGCAGGTTTGGGGGGTTTTTTGAATTTCAGTTCTTTCCTTCAGAGAAAAGTCAAAAATAAGCAGAACACATTCATATGAAAATACTATTAGTATGCTTACACTGATTGAACAAAATTGCATCCTCCTTGGAGAACAGCAGCTAAGTTTAATAAATGCTTTCAAAGCCAGATGGCAGTGTGCTGCCTTTTAAATGCACCCCAATTAAGGCATTAGGTTTTCTTGACACACATCTTCAGTAAATCAAATCTTTTCAAAGTGTCTGTACTAATTTTATTACCCTTATGGCACAGTAAGTAATGTTCATGTATGTTGGAATTAAATTGCCCTGAAGCTGGAAACACTCATAGCGTTGCTGGTTCAGATCCATGCAATTTACCTCAAAAAGGTAAAAATTTAAAATGCATTAGTTTAGGTGGGAAAAAGTTTTACACATATGATGCCCTATGTAAACTGTATTATTCACCAAACATTTTTAATTTTACTGCATTTCCTATTCATGACACCAAGCCTAAGATGTTCAAGTTAAGATACTGAGACAGGTTTCAGCCAGTATGACCTTTATTGTGTTCTACTTGAGATGTGAAAAAAGCACCTGTTAAAGCACCGCTCCAACCACAAGCCTTTTGTTTGCTATTTTTATTTTCTGCTTAGAATTCCAAGTATTACAAGTTAGAGGGAAAAGCACCAGACTGCTCCACACGAGTACCTGAGCAAAGACTAAAGGCAGACGTTCATCACAACACTCATTAGCGTGTTTGTACAACAGAAGTACAGGTAACACAACACTCTACAGACTAGAACTGGTAAGTGGCACTTTTTTGTGAATTACCACCATCTGTACTAATGCAACCACGTTAGGACGCCGTACAAAAATATACAAAAGTGTTTATTTAGCAGGGGGTATGCTATACAACGTACTCTAAGTCATGCACGTTTAGGTAAAAAAAAAGACAAATAAAAAAAATTTGAAGTATACATTGCAGACTGGGAAAACGTCAAACAAAATGTGAAAATCCCAGAGTAGTTCCCAATCAAGTTACCCTCAACTACAACAAAAAGTACCAGTATCTAAAAGCACAGTTTTTAAAGACTATGAGATTTCAGTTTTCTGCAATTTCAACATTAGCTGAAAATACCTCTTCTCCAAGTTTTTCTGAGCATCTCACAAGACAAGGACTTTGCCAGAGCTTACAATGCATGGCACAATCTGCAGCAACTTGGTTATAAACATTTTAATAAGCACAATAATTTACTATAGCATCATTAAAACATTTACAGATAAGACTGTCAACATCTCCAGAAACCTGTAATTATTAAGAATTAGTTCCATACACAACACAACAGCAGGTTTACAGTGGCTATGTCAGAGCTGAAAACAGAGGAAGAGTTAAAAACATATAAGACAGGTTGCTTGTGATAGATTTTTCCAAAAATTATGTATGTGTTCTTCCAAGTTTGAAGTCCTCTTAAAACCAAACAAGCATCTCCCCTCTAATTACCCAAACCAGATATTTTTGCCAACATCTTTCTGTCTTTGTGCCTGGAAAAAACAATTAAAAGGTAGGTGGGGAATCAAATTACAGAGTTTTCCTCGAGTTATCATCATATATAAAGGCCTTAAATATAGTTCTACCATCTCAATAATTCTTAATACTAGAACATTCCTGTAGGAAATCACCAATGAGTGGGATTACTGAAACATCAGCACAAAAGAAAAACTCGGGCGACCAGAATAAGTTGTAAGAGTCCTAAATGAACACACAAGAAGGAAGTAACAGGGAGGACACAAAAATTGCATGTTATCTATTGTGCCACAGCACCAGCAGCACTGTGGCACCCAGATTCAATAGATGTTCTCAATAAAAAAAGGTTAATAGCTTTGATTTGTATTGCTGCAAACAACTACTGTGATCTGCTGCCATGCAGTCATTGTGTGTGCAGGACTAAATACCCCCAGTACAACGATAAGCTTTGAGATGGCATCATTTTTCCACATTCAGTGGTACATGGTACCAACACAGGTAAGGTGATGAAGTCCCAATTTGTGGGTGTCTGTTCAAAACACACAACAAATCCTCTAGAGACATAAAAGGAAAGCCAGCAGTGGCTTTCCCTTAGCTCTTCATATCAAACATGTGTAAGAAATCTTCTACTGTACTAAAACAAGATTTTAAGATCTTGACTATTTCTGGTTTTCTTTAATGAATCAGGAAGAATAATGTGTAATTTTTTCCCCAAAAAAAGGGAATTTACACATAATTTCCAGGGACTTATATGTGAATATTTTTCCTAAAAAGTGAAATTTATTATTCAAAACTTCTGGTGTCTCAACACAAACAATCTCACCCCTTTCTAGTTTTCTTCTCATACCAGCATAGATTTTTGATACTCAGTGGTTTAAATACAGTATTTTGCATAAACTACAGTAAGAGGATTTTCTTTTCTTTTGGCGAAGATGAAGAACAAAATGTTTCAAAATAACTTGACACACAGACTTCAAAGTTGAGACAAATTTCTGAGACTAATTTTCCTTATTTTTTCTTTTTTACATAACAAAAAGATTCGAGAAATTAAGGTCAGACAAAGCTTTCTAACTTTGGGTGTGATTCCAAACCAAAAATATATTGTACTTGTCATAAATCTTCATTTCTCTAAGCGCAAAATGGGGTCAAAAGAATTAAGTATTTTCCCCAAATCAAGTTTCAGTATGATCCACACAAACATTTTTGGTCAACTTCAAAAATCAAATATAAGGCTACAGAAGTCCACAGGCTACAGTTAAGAGTGTATCCATTTACTGGTTTAAGGCACAGTATTTTTTTTCTATTTTTTTTATCTCTAGAAAGCTACAAGTTCAAAGTCACAGTGAGGAATTTCACATTTCAGTTTTGGTCTGGCACTCTAATTATTATGTGTCCTGTCTACTACCTGTCTACTTCTGTAAAACGTTTCAGTTGTCAAGTGCTGCAGTCTCAAATACTGTTTTCACACTCAGAGTGACGTAGGTGGAAAATACTGAAGCCTGCATCGATGCCAAAACGGTGCACTCAGCCTTTTATAAAACTAAACATCAACACACTTGCACATACGATGCTTAATATATATATACCCTGAAACTATTTAAGTTGAAGGGGAAAAAAAGGAAGAGTCTTGGCTGGTATTTCAACAAACAGGCAAAACTTCACTAGGAAACAGTCTACAGGACAGCTGCTGTGTGTTTTCACCAGACCTGATGTTCTCTGAACACTGTGGTTTGTACTACAGGGGAAGGACCCTGCAAACCAAAGATAACTGCAGGGGAAGGAGGAACTGGAATGATGTGCCACAAAACAACAAGTTTCTGTGTGCCATTCCTGGTCTTTAGAGATGCAAAATTAGCTCTGATACCACACGAATTCCTACAGAATCTAGACCACAGCCTGCCAATATCGGAAGAGAGGTTACGCACAAAATGCTTGTTTATGACAGCATGAGTAGCAAAATCTCTCTACTTTCAAGAATGCAGAATGAAACCCTAAATCTTCAGCAAAATTAAAGTCAAAACATCCCACCTCAGGTTTTCTCGCTACAAGGTAACAAGCACATATTAGGCTGTTACATCCCTAGACCTGAAAAATGGAGGTTCTGGGCAGATTTCCTTAAGTAAGAGCCATGGAATTTTCTCCTTAAATGCTTAAAATTAATTTTTAAAAGCATTAATGTTTATTAATAAGACAAAACACATAGTTTTTATTTAAGTTTGAGGATAGATGAGCTGATTAAAAGCACTGAACACCTTCTTCCATAAATAAGAAAGCGTAATCTTCACAAAAGGTTTTCAAATAAATTTTCTAAGATTTTACAGATTCTAATCTTCTAGCCTAAAGTCCTGGTTCTAAGAAAAAGGTAGAAAAACTATCTTACTTTAGCATAAAAAAAGGAATTAGTTTTGAATTGTTGTTCATACACATTTCCTAGAGGCTATATAACAGCAGCAAGGAGCTTTGGTGACAAAAGTATGTAAGTATGCCTCCCCTAAAGGAACAGTGAGGAAAATTTTATATTTCACAGTACCAAGCTAAGTGCTTATAAAAGCTAGCTTGATTATCTCCCAGACAAAAAAGAGATGCAAAATGTCAAAGCTGTAAATTCAGTTAGCAACATTCACCATTAAATGAAAAACAAGCATTAAGATTTTAGCCTGTTTTACAACAACAATTTTCTAGTAGCTGAGCGACTTCAAACAGCAGTACAATTCTGTACAGACACTATAACAGCTTCCAAAATCATTTCATAACTCAGAGTATTGAAGGTCAGCAAATGGCTGGTTTTTTCTCAGCACAAATCAAGTCTAAACACACTCATCACTGTATTGAAATAAACTAGATTCAAAGGAAAGTTTCTCAAATGTTAACATTTATTGACAGGCACATAATTGACTTTATTCTGTCCTGTCAAAGCTTAGAAGCGGATGTATCAGATTTCAGAAAAAAAGTCAAGTAACAAGGTCATCACTTTGTTACTTGCAAACACATGGAAAATTAGCTGTCGTGTCGAATACCAAAATATGCAATGCTTTGGGGTTTTTTAAGTGCCAATAAACTTTATTTTATTAATCACTGACTTTAAAGATAGTCCAATGAGGTTATTGAAAAATTCCCTTAGACAGACAGGCAGTCTCTATGACTCCTGCAATATATTACTCCTGCACTGTTTAGGGTTTTGCTGTTATTCATCTGTTGTAAAACTTAGTCAATTAATATTCAGGAGTGAATTGATACATGAGTGAGCTCACTCAAAACCAAAATCAGGGCAGAACTTTAAATACTGGAAATAACATTAACTTAAATTCCATTTATTGCAAGTTCTTTGGAAATAAAACATGTAAAAAAAAAAACCCCTCCCACCAAAACTCAAAACCCCCTTTTAACAGGATGCTGAAATGTGACACACTGCAACCAACCTTTAAATCAAAACTAAAAATACCACCTTTGGACAACGTTCATTCTTCAGTTTCCAGGTGCATTTGGTAACTCCAGTTAAGAGGTGAGTCCTCCCTTACCAGACTCAGAGAGACCTCCTATGAACCATTTGCTACACGTGTAGGTCCTGGGGCTGCAGCATGGGAGACTGAGGAACCAAGTCTGATGACATCAACCAGAATAGATTAGAGACTTCATGAGTAATTTCAGGGTACAAAGATATCAATAAAAGCTTCTCATCTTAAAATCTACCCCTGCCAAAGAAAGATTCTCCTGTACATATATGCTGCACCAAAGTACTTTAAGTTCTTACCCTGTTTTTTCATTCTGCTTCTGATAGTTTATAAAAAAATGTTACAATAAAGTCACATAAATAGTTCCTATTTTGAATGCATCCTGAGGTATAAACCTTTACAAGTTAATTTGTGTCTTGTTCTTCTCCCACACAGTCTACATAACCTAAAATCTGAAGAATAAACTGGAATTTTAATTTAGCTAAAGGTAATAAGAGATACTATAATGTATTTGCCAAAAGCTGTTTATAAATGCACCCTACTCATAATAAAGGATATTCCAGTAATACTTAGACCTCCTCATATATGCAATTAAAAGTATTTATATTGGGTTAGCCTACATTTCTGCCAAAATGGTAACTGTGATCAGTGGCAGAAGTACAGATTCACCTAACAGAAGCTTCTTGTCCAAAAGCAACAAACAATATTGTATTTCACCTGAAATACCATTTTAGAATGCTATAAAAGCTAGTCCCTTCCAGAATGGCAAGCGGGATAATTCATCCTCTTAGAATGGGATGGGTTTTTCTCTGGACTTGTTCTAATCCTATTACCATCCACTGATTATACAGAAGATCTAATTGGGATTAGACTCCTAATCTGCCAAACAGCTGAAGGTGTCCAGTCCATGATCACTGCAAAATCCAGATGCACATCTCTGACAACAATTTTAATCTATCAAATGGCACACAATGCATATAAATTCAAAGCAGGAGTAAGACTTCCCCTCCTTTCCCCACCAAAGGTAAACTATCTCTGAGAAAAGGTAGCATTGAGGGAGATGTGAAAAACCCTTGTCCCTCTGGGATCTCAGACTCAGGATTATATGTATTCCTACCTTTAACCTGAAAATCAAGCAGGAATATATACAAGATTCTGGAACTCACTTTATGAAGAGTGCTAGTAATCATCAATAGAATTCCCAGCTTTAAAAAAAAAATAATTAAATTTTGAAAAATTGGTGTTATTCTATGCTGCTTTAAGTCAGTAGGTTTCACATTGTGGTGTATTTTGGAAGCTATCAAAGCTACTACATGCAGAGATATTGCTTTCCTTATTCTGATTAATACTTGCCACCAACAGTTCCAGCCAATAGATAAAGAGCCCACTAAGATGGCAATACAAAATCAGAAGTAAAATACAGCAGTAAGTCAAAAGGACCATGAAGGTCAAGGAAAATTATCATCCGCAGAAATCAGAATCCTGCATGTTTCACAGACAGCCCTAAAGCAGTTCTGCCACCATCTTTCATTCACAGCCATTTGCAAGTAGAAAAATTCTCTATTCTTCTATAATTAAACAGCAATTTTTTGTTAAACCAAGAGTTGGATTTAGCTATAATTAGTCACACAAATTCTTATATACATATTCTGTAGCATACATTTGATCAGAAAATATCACGATATTATCAATTCAAATAACTTCTCTGATTTACAACACTATGTATAATCTAACCTTTTTTAAAAAAGGTTAAGACTAGAACACCTGCACACAGATTACTGATAACAGTGACAGTGGTTTGGCTGACTACAATAGCCTTACTCAGTTACAGCAGTTTTAATGACTTACGAATAACCCAAACTGCTGACTTGGATGTAAGCGAACAAAACACATCCTTACTTCACATTTGTCCTTCATTCTGGAAAGTCCCTGGGTGAGTTGAGTCATTGCAGCCAGCTCAGATGAATGGACCCTAAAAACATGTTAGAACTAACTGAGGCACTTTAGGCAAGATTAATGAGATACAATTAAATTAATGGGTCAGGCTGGCTGTACTACTATATCAAGAATATACTTGATTGACTGTGAGCAGCAGACTTCCTCTCTTTATTCCTAGAAGATGATTGAGCTGGTCTGGTATTTCCATATGAAGAGGAACAGGTATTCTCAGACACAGCAGAGACAGCTAACATAGAAGCAAGGAGCAGGCTCATCTCTACACAGAATCAACACATCATTTAAACCTAATGGCTACTGCGATTTCTTCTGTTGGCAAAACACATGCCCAGGGGACAGAACTCCTTACACAGAGCTATTTTTAGGCTTTATTATAAATGGCAGTCACTGTAGCATCTAGGCACTAAGATAATAGTTTATACAGAGCTAATAATTATGGTCAGTACTTCCCACTATTACCGAGAGTTTGTCCACATGCAGAAGTTAGCACTGTATGGCAGGGCAGGAGTTTACAGTATTGTAACTATTCCATATTCATTTCATGTATGGGAATTTATTAGGAGATGATCGATTCTCCGTTTACAATAGGGAAAAAGCCTTCTTTGTCCACTTGGAAACAGTGCAGTACAGTACTTAACTCACACCACGCCTCAAGGTTTGCTAGCTTCTACATATGGACAAAGTCTGAGGATTAATTTCAAAATTCCAGAGAAATGTTTTAAAACAACATCACAGCAAATTGTTTATGAATCTGCTGGTATCCTTCCTGAATAGAAAGCTACATAGAATACTGTTGTTTTCTCACTCTCACAAAAAGTAAAAAGTGTAAGACTTTTAATAATCTCACAAATGTTCAACTCACACTGATTGAACAAATGATTTGATAGAAATAACAGTTCAATATAAGCAGTACATTCTAGTTTGTCTAGACATAACTGTGGCAGCTTTTAAATGTACATAAAATAATTAAAAGTATACTTGGCTGTGTAGTTGTTGTGATAGTCACAGTGTGCTTGAAATGTATTGAGTTTTAACCAGCATACTTTAGACCTGCAAGAGATGCAAGTTCAGAGCATACACACTGTATGGCACAGTGAGTAAAAAAAGTCTGTTTCAACAAAGCAATACAGTGAAATATCAAAGTGTCTACAAGGCAGAGTACTGAGATGTTGCACTGATACGATTTATGTGCTTACACACAGTTAAATCACTTGATTTTAAGGGTCAGGAAATAAACACCGTGAAAAGCTTTCCAAGCAACATGAACAGAACCATGAACTTTTCATAAAGGATTCACAGTTCTGTTCTCTTTCCTACATAACGTAAACAACCGATGATATTAATTTAGGCATTTCTTCGCTGAAATTCGTCCCATCTCCAGTGTTAAGTTTCTTGAGTGCACTGTCCTTCCTGTGTAGAATGAACACTACACAACACAGCACAGCACATGTAGGAGAAGAGAAAAGGTTACAAAGTGTGGCACTCTGTATAAATGCATTCGTCCAAAGGCCAGCATCGCAACAGACAAAGGGAGTTGAACTTTGGCTGCAATCTTCAAGAGTTTACTGTAAGAGTACAAAGAAAAATTACCACTTTTGTAGCCCGTCCGTATAGAAGGTACGCAAATAACATATTTCACTTTCCTTTGCAAAATAATTTATGTTTCAAGGCTTTTCTAATTTTTAAAACTGAAGTACTAGGTCTAGTGGGCAATAACAACTGAGGCATAAAAGCAAGAGCAATTACTCAAAAAGGGTAGTAAAATGTCATTAAAATATTCCTATATTAATTTAGAAATAAATTCTCTGTAACAAAGGAAGATTTAATGGTTTAACTTGAGATAACAGGTACTGGTCAAGAGCATAAATGACATTCGTTATTATCCACTGTCCTTCCTGAGGCATTGACTAATTTCATACCTGGACAAGAAATGCTCTACCTATCAGCAAAACCAAGTGCTCAAAACTTCTTAATCCAGTAGAAAACACATTACACTTCCACAAGTGTTCCCAAAAGGGGAGGTACAAGAACATTACTATAATGCTTTAGGATTCACTTTCCTTCGTAACTTTCTGACAATAATTGCTGCATGTATTAGGATTCTGTAACATTTGAAAGGATTCAATGAATCATGAATTAAAAAGTCACAGTAAGAGGTAGTTACGCAACCGACTGCTTAGACAGCACATGACTAATTTATTTCTATGTGGCAAATACAGAGGATTTTCTCCACTTAGCTGAACTAGAGGTAATTTGCACACATTTTACCTGGTCTTCTGGATTTACCATATGAGTTCCTGAATTTCTACATGGGCTGAACAATTACAGGTCTGTACAGCATAAGTTAAGTTTTACCACACAAATGGTAAGTAACAAAAAAGAAGGAAAACAAAACTAGAGGTACCTTGACTTCACTTCAGAAGTACTTGAATTCATTAGAATTTCTAAAATGCACACGATGATAATAGCTGTAGATCTACATGGATCAGGATCAAGCCTAACATTGTACCTGCAAAGAAACAGTTTAAAAAGTTTGTTACTTCTAATTAGGCTACCAAATAATATCTACATTGGGAACAAGCATGTGCTGATAACAAATATACATGATATCCATATAGCATCAGAGCCTGATTTTAAATAGTTTCTGAATCAATACCTTCTTCAACATATCACCAGTTCCCTTAACACCTACTTACACACAGCACAAACTGGATTGCAGATAGAAGACAATAACCACTAACAGAAATACCTGAAACTATAAGGTAGCTAATAATGTAAAGAGAAACATTTACAATTTTTATAACCTTCAAAGTTTCATATTCCTTTCTTCCACCTTGGTGGCAATTTAAGAATTTACCTGAGATTTTTTAGCCAATAAATTAAAGATGGCAAGTTGAGCAGCACAATCCATGTGAATAAATTGAGGATTGTAAAGTGCATCTTAAGACTGTTAACAGCTTCAGCAATTGTTGTACTGTTGGCAGGAGACTGGCTTTCTTCTGGAACACTGTCCATGGAGCTCTGGGGTTTGACTGTGTGTATACTGGAGTTTTGTGAAGTTTCTTGTGAGTGGTCTGAATCCTGAAAATGAAAGACAGAAAGTCACAAAAATGTGCACAGGCTTGTAAGAACCCAGGCTGGGGAAAGAGGACAGGGAAAAAATCCTAACTGTATCACACTAGCTCTGATTTAGGAAGAAAATTTGAAATTTAAGCCTCAAAAAGCCATCAAAAGTGTAATTTGATAGTTCAACTTTAAAGCATCTAAATTTAACCAGAAATTTCTCATACACTAATAGTTTAGATGTCTCTGGAAGAAAAGGAGAATGGAGACGCCCTGACACCAATGCAGTGATAAGAAATGGAGTTCCTGGAAGGGGGAAGAACAGAATAAAAGGAGTAATAAAGCATGTGGGTGAAAAATCACAGATGATCATTCACAGAAAAGATATAGGAGATAATGCAACTGGGAGGAAAATATTAGCTGTGGGAATAAATAGCAAAGACGAACTAATGAGCTGGCAGATACTAACTTCCAATGACAGGAAAAAAACCCCACAAATGAAAGAAAACAAAATTATATGAAAATGGGAGGATTGAAAATGAAACACACAAAAAATCCACGAAAGAAACCCAAAGAAAACTTCCATCAACTTTTTCTGGCTTTATTAACTATGTTTCATTCAGTCATCACAGCACAACCTATTACTACCAATTCATAATGCATAAGTTTGCCAATTTTTGGTGTTAGTTTGGAACAGAAGCAGGAAAGAGACTTACCCTGTTGAGCTTGTTTTGTTCTGCTCTTACATTCACATGCAGTTTTATAACCTGCAAGACAAAGAGTTCAGCTTTCAGTAATGTTTCTTCACAAAAAAGCTCTAGTATAGAAAAAAAAATGAGGACATTATTTTTTTTTCCTTTTTATAGTTGGATGATTTTAGGGCCCCAACAGAACTGCAGTGCAAGAATTCCCTCTGTCTTTATCAGCAGCATCCAAAGTGCTCTATGAAGGAGGGAGCTCCAAGCACAGAGTGAAAACAGGTTGCTCTGCTTTCTCCCTTTCTACTGTGCTTGACAGAGTGGGAAACCTGCATATTCCTTATTTCTTAATTTATTTCTACTTAGCTCTCAGCAGAAACCTAAACAGGCCATACAGGAGAAGTTCCATGTCAGAAATGTACTGCAGAAGGGGGAGTTATGTCAGCATGGGAACATTCTTTGCAGAACCTTTTGTCACAGTGCTGTTCCTCAGGCTGTGCTTTCAGCTGCCACTTGCCTGCTCCAGACCACCAAAGCCTCTCTGCTTTGTGCCCCTGCTCCCAGATCCACGCTCCCCTGCTTCCCTAGGAGCCGAGTATAGCAGCTGATTGAACAGCTGTATAACCCTAGGGTGAATCAGAGGAGTTAGAGGCTCTGATGCAAGGAAGACGATGGAAACTGAACGGCAGGGACTAAATATGGGTCTTTGTGGCACTACCCGAGGGATCAGATTAGATTTACAAGAAGACCATCCTAATTTTTCAGTATATCAACCCTCCTTACTTTTACTCCGTAAAGATTCACGAAAAATATAAAGTATTCTAGAGAACTTTTCAAGTCCTCTCTTTGTTCAAGTTTCTCTTTGAAGGAGTCCTTAGTCTTTGTTTACACTCCACTAATTTAAAAAAAAACCTACTTCAAGAATGAGAATAAGAATGTTTATGTATGAAAAATGGTAACCTGGATTTTTGCTTTTAACGTGGGGTTAATTCAAAGCACACAAAATTTTCAATTCAGTTACAAATTCGGAATGTTTGGCCTTCCAGTACCTTAAACAAGTATTGAAGATAAGTAAGGAATACAGCAAATGCACCACAAGTTGTCCAGCTAACCAAAGCAAGGGATAACATCCCACAGAGTCTTCTGGGTGTAATCAACTTATCTTTTTGCAGTACAGTAGGTCTAAAAAAAAAAAAAAAAAAAAGAATGTAACAACATTAGACCTAAAAGGATGAAAGAATAATTCTGGTTTTTGAATGACCGAAAAGAAAAAATTGTTCCTGAATGTTGATTTAACACTGGAAAAATAAAGTTAGACAAACTTAAACATATGTAACAACTGCTACATAAACTATTTTGCCAGGAAAGCCTTCTCAGCAAATGAACTAACAAAACTATATATTATACCTTCTAGAATGCATGTCTGCAACTGTGTGTTATTGTTCATTTGGGGAACATAAAGGACCCATAAAACTACATTTACAATGCCAACTGTGTATCTGCATCAGTCACTAAGTTCTTCTGTTCAGCTCAAAAGAACAAGTATCTTATTACTGCAGAGCTGCTTCAGGGAAGTGGCTCCCACTACAAAAGCTGATGCACTGCAATGTTCAGTGGCAGTACAGCAGTATAACACAGCCAGTCTCCAGGAGATTAATTCTGTGAAAAACATTCTTCCCAGACAGGAATTTCTGCTTGTTCACAGTCTGAGACACACAGAAAAGCTTATTTTAAGTTTCTGGATTCCAGCTGATATGAGTAAGAGACAATCTGAAATGGCAAAGATGAGCTGAGAAGGTGTGACAATGAGGGGAACGTGCTGGGGAGGAAATGCACTAGAACTATGCAAAAGCCTGTATTTTTTGGATATTGTAGGATTAAAGTAGACATTGAAAACAGAAAAAACAGTATTTGGAAAATTCAATTGCAAAAGCCTCTGCAGCAAGTATCAAAAATAAACACAAAAAGAAGACCAGCTGACAAGAAACAAAGAGTTCCACAGACAGCTAGTGACAAATTCTTTGCTGCTGGCCGTATCAGATCATTTCAGAACACTAAGCAAAACTCAAGTGAACGCTATCCACTTCATAGAAAATAATTTTGGGGGGTTTTATCGAGGAATTCAGGAGTAGATCAAAACCCACATAAGGTACTAGAACCCTGTAAGGCACTAGAATTTAAAAATGAACCAGCTGACTTACAGGTAGGCACACAAAATCTTATTTTCCTGCCTCTGCCTAAGGCATTCTCAGGGTCGAGAAATCAAAAGCTTTAATGAAAAGAGTCTGAATTGAGTTAAACCCCTTAAAAATTTGGTAGGAATAACTTCAAACTCAGAAATTCATTAATTTGTTGCTTAAAACTAATACTGAAACATCCAGTGTAATTTATAACCAAAATAGCAGAGAAAAAATAGCCAAAACCTCATCAATTATTTGGTCAAGTAAGACCTGAAGTGATTAAAAGAAGGAAGAGATCTTTTTGTGGGCATTTTCTTAAAGAGCATCTCAACCTGCCTTCTGGAGACAAATTGGCTCAAATCAAAATGAGGACTCTTACCTGTGTCAGAACACTCAAGCCACTAAAACCATAATCTCAGAGAAGAATGTTATCCAGTTTACTACCTTACTCTCTCAAAATCTCTTTATTTCCCTTCCATTTTTAAAACCACTTTCACATTCGAATACTCATCTGTACTGCCAAAAGCACTCCAGTGTTCTCAGACATACCTATGCAATGAAACAGTCTTGTAGACTAAAATGAATGTTCAAGAAGTTTTTGTTTTAGAAACCTGCTTGTATTATTTAATGCAGTTGATCCACTATCACTAATGAGGAACGGATTCTAACACTATGGTCCCTTTTCTAAATATATACTTTTTTTTTTCCTTGAGTTGCTGAAAAGGGAATAGTTCTTTCATTTCTTATCCCCAACAAGTTTTCCTCAAAACCAAACTGAAAACCTTTTTAACAGCTGACGAAGACAACAAGAAGGCCATTTATATTCTCTTTTGGAGACGTGGAATAAGGAATAGGAGGCAATCATCATATTGCTTTAGTTCTTAACACTCACAAACCCAGATATCTAAATTGTAGAATTCAATCTGCCCAGACAGTCACACAGAAGGAAAGAGAAAAAAGAACTGTCATGGTCAAAGTCATCTAAAAGAGTATAATTATATGGTATCATGCTGTTTTACCTGATCAGAGTTAACCATAATGAAGAGAAGAGTCTCAGAGATGTAGAGAAAAATACTCCACTCCAGTAGGCAATGCCTGTCCCAAAAAGAAATAGAATCAGGGACACAAGGGGGAACCATGCATCCTGACTACTCAGTACAGCAGCATCCACCTCTGGTAGTGACAGTGACTCCCATATCTCTCTAAACCAGTTAAACCTGCCAAAAACATGAAAGGAGTATTATTTATCACTTCCAAATGTGTTACAGTAAGAAATCTATCAACTATTCCTCTTACTACAGCCTTTCAAACAAAATCACAGTCAGGTGTTCACAACAACTAGAGATAAAATAATATTCCTCCCCAGCAAGAGTTTTACTGAAACTTCTGTTTTGGAAACTAAATAAACAAACAAACAAACAAATAAATAATGCCAACTCACCCCTGCAGAAACACAACAATGCTTATAAGAGGTTCTACTTTGTAGGGCTTAGCTGTCCTAACTAGTTCAAGCAAAAAGTCTGAGCACTGGCCTGGAATCAAGAACAGAGAGCACCTGTGGTTACTATTGTGTCGTGAACTTTAACAAACATCATTAGCAACAAAAATAAATTCAGACAACGGTTTGAAAGTTTACTTGAAAAGATAACCATGTCCTGTAACAGCACTGCAAGTCTGCATACTTCATCCCCAAGGCCCTTACTCACTGGATCCCTCACATTAGATAATAAGTCACAAGAGTTTCTAGAGACATTATGGAGGTTGTTACAAACACCACCTGAATTTTAATAAAAATGCATTTTGTCTGAAGACATGGCTCAAAGTTATTCTGCAAATTTCATCTTAGTGCAAGAAATAAAGTGGTTTCTGCATACTACCATATTTTAAACTTTTGTATGTATTTTTAAGTAGACTTCTGTTAATGCAAAACTACTATGCAACAAAATTAATTCACCAAGAAGGGATTGCAGAATAAAATGATAAGGAAATATTCTGATACAACGCAACGCTGGAGAACTATCAGCAAATAAAACCCAAAACTGAGGAGCGCAGATCTTATTATTTGCCTAAGTTGAATGATATTTAGCTTAAAAAATTCACAACTAGCTGGTCTTTCATCAGTAAATTGATTAAGTAATTGCTCTAAAAACACTTGCGACAGGAAAAAAAAAATTCCAGAAAGCTACCTGTTGACCTCAATGTGCTCAATTGTCCTCCATAAGTAAGAAGAATATTAGAAACAATATAGACAGGAAAAGCACCAGCATGGAACCTTACTATCTGAAAGACAAGAATATATAGATAACTATCTGTAAAAATATATTAAAACACACACACACAAATATTATCATGAAGTCAAGATGATAATGCAATTAGAAAATATTTCTTAAAATATTTTCTTTAAAAAGTTTCTCCTTTTTATGCATAAGTATTTTATAAACTCCATTAGCAATTAATGTTACACATGTAAAATGCTAGAATCTCTTACAAATTGCTAAATCAAACATATTTTGATAAATGACCAAATTATAAACATTTTTTCCAGTTAAGACAAATATTAAAAAAATATAATATCATACACTTCAGTAAAATAAGTTTCAAAAATTAAAAGGCCACATTCCAAACAAAATCTGCATATAGTCAGATATGTTTTTAAGCAAAGAATTTTTAGAAGCAATTACATGTCTGTATTAATTGGCTTCCAGTCTCCTGAGTCATGATTAACATACAAATAGCACATAAATTCTTCAAAAATAACATTAAAAGTCCTTCATATAAATGCACAGATTCAAAGAGAGAACCTTGGCAGTAATATTCCAGCACCACACTTAGGTGCTTGCAAATTAATTACTTTTTAGACCCAGGAAACTGCAGATGGCTAGTCTATTTTTACAGATACCCATGCTGAAATGTATTCTTCATTGATAACCGAAGGAAATTTGTTGAAAAGGAGCATATGGATCTACTTAGACTTTTTCCCCTAACTTTTAATTGATGTCGAATGTATTTTAAAGTTTTAACTCTCCTGACTCATCAGACAAGAAAGTTAAAGTGACCTCCAGCGTCATCCCTTTACAGATATCGAGCTAACCACAAAGCCAAATGCTCCGCATTTCCAGCAGCTCTTTAGAGCTGGAGTGCTCCTCTAATCCTCACAAAACTGAGGCCTGACATTTTTCCAGATGGGGTGCCCTGCCAAGTGACGAGGTTGCAAAATGATCATTGAGTAGTTAGTGTTCCTCTTGGCATCATGAAGGAATCTGAAGTACCACAGCAGAGAAGGGAAGAAGTCAAAATTTCTGTAGATGCTACTGACATAAAAACCAATTCAGGCTTTCTTACTTGCCCAAGAACCTGTAGAAGTGACGTCTTCAGAATAACCTTGACAAAAAACAAATATTTTATACAATGGTAAGCATGAGTACAAAATACTTCAATTTTTAAGAAGCCAACTTAAGTGTTAGAATACAGCAATCCCACAACTAAAATGTACACCACCTTACTACTGACTTTTTAAAAACAAGTGCTTCAAAGTTTTGCTTTCAATACTACTCCGCTGTTGCAAAATACTTGCAACACATGACAAAAACACTTGTAACACTTGACAAAAAGGTCAAACAGCCCATCTTTAGATTTGCTTATTATTTATTTTGATTAATTAGCTACATGTTTTAAAAAACTGCATTAGGCACAAATTATACAGCAATGCAAACTAGCTACAAAAATAACACTGTGTTACTCACTTCATACTGACAGTCTGAGGAAGAGTAGATATTTAACTCTGGAGCCCTGTTGTCATTCTGAGGCTGAGCAATATGCAGCTTGGCAGAAATCTCAGTAAGAGATGGGACTCTGAAACAGCAATTTAAATGGTAATTGTTGCTCTTGTAACCAAAAAAAAGCCAAGCATGTCTTAGTTTTCAACATGTGCAAAGCAGATTTAGTACACCAAGTGTCACTACATGCTATGAGCGAAATGGTATAAGGAACTTGTTAATCTTATCACAAAGAACTCCATGACATTCTCAATCCTCAATCCACTCTCCTCTGAACTATCAAGGGCACAGCACTAATGAAAGCACACAAGTTGAGGGAACACACTGCCTCACAGAACAGGTAAACATGCTGAGTGACATGAATGGGAAGGACAGATTCTCTAGAATACAATTCAGTTGCCTGAGTTGTGCTGTTAGAAAATATGGGGAGGGGGGGAAATCGGGAGATATCCTTAAGACTTCTAAAATAAAGAAGCAAGACAGTTTTCCAACCATCTAATACACAGTCAGGTGGTTCAACTTCTTCCAGAAAATTAGTGAGAACCATTATGCAAATAATTATTGGGTATTCTTATTCTGAGGAAGAGTCAAAACAACTTTGCCAACAAGGTCAGAAAGGTGAAGGTGCAGAAGCCAAACACTTTAAACTGGAGAAACTGTCTCATATCAGAAATATTACAACAGGATGCAAATATTCTCAAAAAAAACCATATCAAGAAGTAATAATTGTTAAATTTCTTACTTTGCTACAATTATTGAGTCTTCATGTGACCAGGGTATATGAAGTCTGTAAACACTAGGTTTTCTTTCTGAAATGAAAGAGAATTAAAAAATATAAAATTAGTTACAAACAAGATGTGGCAACTGTCTCTAAAAACTACAATGCCAGTAAAACAAAGGTGGCATACCAAATCACTGGGCTTGCAGTTACATTGCAATTGATATTGCAATGCAGATCAGTGCAGTTAGCAGGAAACAAAAATGACATTTTTTTAACTCAGGCTGTTACAAGACAAGACAGTGAGAGACATCAATGTTCAAAGGACTGACAAGAGAAAACTTCTGCTTTTCAATATGAAACTGAAATTCTAAACTAATGAAATCCACCTTTTTTTTTTTTTTAACAGAGTCCTTTAGCAACCCATCCTGTTTAAGCTTATGTAGCTCAGCATTCAAATTTAAATTCCATAATTAGTAAATAAAAATCATTGCCAAAGGCACTTTTCTTGAGGAACACTTTCAACATAATGCAGAATCCTGCTGAAAGTTCAACTTCCCTTTGCTAAGAAGAAAAACAAATATCAGAGGATTCATTTCTCAATTTTTTTGAGCTATCCTTGTTATTAAAAAGTGAGAAGTGAGAGATATTAGCAGAGACATTTGAGCAGATTATAACAGGACTGACTAAACCCCACCGCATGAAAGGACTTCAGTTTCTACCAGTTTCAGTCTTGAAACTTTTTGTTTTATAAACTTACACTTTAGAAGACTTATATTTACCTTTGAGTGACCGGCAGTGGCTCTCTATATAAATTTTGAAAGCTTGATATATCTAGAACATGAAAAAAAAACCCATTAGTCCCATTCTCCCAACGGGGGTTACATTAGCTTTAAAAATTAAGTAGCATTCTTACTTGGTTGAAGTGCTGGAGCTGTACATTGTAAAGTAAGCCAGTCGAATTTAATAGAATTTTGCTTGAAGAGAGCCCTGTAAAGAATGTAGTATTTTCAATGATTAGATAAAATTTTCTGAGAACTCATTACATCTTCAGATTTTTTTTTTTCCAGGAGACCTAAGTGCTTTTATATCTGTTAGTCAAAACCCCCATATTTCTTATTTCTTTGTTACTAACAAAAGCAGTATTAACTTTGGTGAAAAACAAACCCCCCAAAACCTCCAACCTGAAATTTTTAGGTAAATTTATTATCCAAAGGTTACTAATATTAGTTTTCCATTTCTTCCAAAAGTAATATCCTATACTTACCAAATGAAAACAGATGTGTAACAGGAAGCTGTACTGTTCTGGAATCCTCTTGGAAGAATTCACAGCCCAAAGTATACTGCAATTGAGGATATTGAAAACAGATCTAAACAGAGCACAAGACTATGATACCTTTGCACTTGCCAATTACATTTCCCAAGTGATCTCTGTTCTATCTTTTCTTACCCCCAACATTGTGTATCACTAATTCAACTGCAAAATGTCCCTGTCACAGCTATCTGAAGATACACTCACAGATGAATATTATACTCACTTCAGCTGTGAATAATTTCTTGGATCATGGATTATACACCACAGATGCAGAGACTGTATTTGTGTCCCAGAAAGGAATGTCAGATCTATTTAGATCAGAAATCCTTCAAGTGCAGTGTTCTGCCATTTTTAGGACCAACTGGAAAGGTCTGCCAGACCCAGCTGGGTAATATGCAAAGTCTACTTAGATTCGCTAAAAATGTTCCCCTTGCTGGGATCCTGGAAGCCCTTGATGCAAAGATATTCAACTCATTTGTGAGCTGAATATCTATTAGATATTAAGCTATTAAACTGTGCACACCTCAGTCTACCACAGTATTTGTGGTCTCAGAGCTCGCAGGGGTATCTGACCTATGCTCCTCAGAATCCATGTGTGGTGTCTTCAATTATATATATATATATATATATATATATATATATATATATATATATATTCTCTGCTATCCTTGATAAGAGAAAGCACTGTCCAAAGGTATAAATATTCAGGAATGCAAACAGTATATTAAGAAACCCAAACCATTAGAATCTCCAACAAGAACTCCTGAAGAAGTGATTTGAGAACTGTTGCGATTCCTGTGTTTGGTATTTTATCAAATTCAGTGCTTCTGAGCCTTCTAGAAGATAACAAAAGCTACCTTCAAACCACGGTGGAGTGTAGGTCTGTGGTTTCTCAAAGCAGCTTAGCACATACTTTATATACTTCCTTTTCCTTCTGTCATAGCACCTGAATTATGAACACACTAAGTGAGCAATTTCTGCACGTCATATTTTTTTACCTTATTGCCAACTGCAGCTGGTACCTGAATGACAATGTGGGACAAAGAGGGATAGTCCTGAAGTTTCAGCATTACAACCTCAAAAAGGAAAGGAAAAAAGAAACAGAAGGAAAGAAAAAGAAAAGCCATTACTGAACACATCCCTTAGCTGTGCCCCTTGCCAGTTTTCTATCTGCTGTACCCCTTCCTCTGGAATACAACTACATGTTCTAATGCTGTAAACATGACTTGCAACTACCCCTAAAGCACCTCTCCCTCCTACAAATTCTGTATAATACTTACCTTGGTGGTTGGAAGTAACTCAGCTCTCCAGGACAGATCAGTAGCTTCCAGGCTGTAAAAATTCATGCACATTAAAGGATGAGCAAATTCATTACGCAGGCCCTACCTTATGGCAGTGGATTAACATACCAGCTTCTCTCTCCCTCTCTCTCTGGATTCCCATTTTAAATTGAGAACAAGATGGGGTGTACTACTATCATAGTTTAGCTATTATCATATGTTAGCTATCATAGTAATTTATCAAACTATATAATTTCATACAGTGCAAATCTTGTTTTTGTAAAAACAAGTTAAACAAAGCTCCAATTCTGTCATAGACATAACACATAATATTTATCAGCCATGCAACTTCACACACAAAATGAAAAATGTCATGAGCTAAAACAGCACTGGCATTAAATTAACATGTAGTTTTATTAACACCTTTTAAACACTAAAAGTACCAGTTCTTCCTATGGGAAGATCTAAAATATACCACATAAATGAAAAAATCTGTTAGCTGCTAAAGAGCTTGCAGCAGTTCTAACATGGTGTGTATGCAAGTACATTGAGTTCCTCTCCAGCTCTTTTGTAGGTCCCCTTTAGCTACTGGAAGGTTGCTACAAGGTCTTCCTGAGCTCTTCTTTTCTCCAGGCTGAACATACCAACTCTCTTAGCCTGTCTTCATAGGAGAGGTGATCCAGCCCTCTGAACAGCTTAATGGCCCTCCTTTGGACCTGTTCCAACAGGTCCCCATTTTTCCTGTGTTTGGGGCCCCAGAGCTGGATGCAGCACTCCAGATGGGGTCACATAAGAGGAGAGTAGAGGGACAGAATCACCTCCCTGCTGGCCACACTGCTTTTGATGCAGCCCAGGACATGGTTGGCTTTCTGGGCTGCAAACACACATTACAGAGTCATCTTGAACTTCTCATCCATGAACACCACCAAGTCTTTCCCCCAAGGTTAGTTTTGATCCATTCACCACCCAACCTGTACTTTTGCTGGGACTTCCCTGGCCCAGGTGCAGGACCTTGCACTTGGTCTTTTGAACCCCATGATGTTTGCACTGGTTCACCTCTCAAGCCTGTCCAAGTCCCTCTGGATGGCATCCCATCCCTCCAGCATGTTGACCACACCACACAGTTTGGTGACATTGGCAAATTTGCTGAGGGTGCACCCACTGTCCATGTTGACCACAGAGATGTTAAAAAGTGCTGATCCCAATATGGACCACTCATCACTGTCCTCCACTTGGACACGGAGCCATTGACTGCAACTCCTTGAGTCCAACCATCCACCAGAACCATCCAGATGCTACAAAGCCCACAATTTTGGAATCCAGCACAGCATGTAGTATCCACAAGAGAGCAACAGGAACGACTTCTCACTGCTATGAAGGTCAAAAATACAACTTAACAAAGAAAAAGATCACCTACTTTGAGAAAACCTACTCTTTCCTGTTTTCTTGGTGAAAAAAAAGCATGAATTCTTTACAATAACAATTTTACTTCCTAACCTCTTCCTTCCTACAGAGGATATTTATATGTTTTAAATTCAAACACAATCTCAAAAGATCCATTTGAATAAAGAACAGGAACTTTTTATACTCACCACATCGATGAATTACTGTTCATGCAGCCATAAATCCAACTACTCGTGTCCTGTAAAGTCAATACCATAAAACAGTACATTACCTATGTGTGACTGCATTTATAAATATATTGAAAATACCAAATCTTTACTCTAAACAATGCAGGAGTTAAAGCTGCTGACAATCTCCAAAATTTCTACATGCTAAATATTTCAGTACACCAGATATCAGCAACTGTCTCTGGTAGCACAACCTTGGTGCAATTAACTTACTAAAAAGAGAACAAACTTTCATCTTTGTCTCACTCACTCCTTTTCTATTTAGTGTGTCTGTAGCAGCTATCACTACAGTGACCAAACTCTCATAAGGATGTCAAATGCTGAAGCATAAAAAGTGAAGATGGTTATAAAAACAGTCTCTCTCGGATTTCCTTAGTTATTTAGAATGAAAGATATGCACCTATTTTTTTCCCATTTCACAATGAAGTCAGAGCTCTGTGTTAACACCAAGTGCTATCTCCTCCACTAAAAGTCTGATATGATAATCTTGCAATTACAATTACAAGGTGAAGCATAAGACTGAGTGGTGGGGGTTTTTAGGAACCATTTTGAATAACTTCAATTGGCCACCCTTTCTAGTTATGAATAAATACAAGGTTAAGCAAACAAGCTTTCATAATTTCTTTTTAAAAAATACTCATCTTAAATATCATGCTTTATCTCTTCTAACTTAAAGAAACATCTCAAGGCACTATTTTAAGTAGTAGAGGAGTACTTGAGATATTTAATGTTCTACTGCTCCCTCCCTTGAGAATTTAAGTGTTCTGAAGCAATAGCACCATGATACAAGGATTTCAGACATTGGTTTGTGCCTCCCTCCTCCTCCTCAAGTTGTACTAATCCTGTTTTTGAGACACTGTAACAAAGGCAAAAGTTACCCTATGTGAGCGCAAACCACGACATGCTATTAAATCACAACTAAGATCACAACATATGTGTAAACACTGAAGTGCCACAGGGAAGGACCCTTAGAAAAGCACCAAGGACAGACGATCATTTTTCACAATGGTGCTAGGAATGTCATCTTTGCTAAAGGGAGGAGTGGCAACAGGGATGGGCAGGATGGAACAGTAAAGTATATCAATTTTCTTGCCACTAATCTAAAATATGTAAATTCTGATAAGAATATTTATCCAGTTTCAGCTTGGCAAGAGATTAAATTCATTCTTGTAAAAAAAAAAAAAAAATTTTTGGCTGAATGCCTGTGTCTTGAACTAAAAATATAAGTGCTGCACATTATGGTGTCTCCTCTCAATAGGAGACAACCAAGATGGTGCTGTTTTCTCATCTGTCTTCCATTCACTTCCCTTGCTTAGTGAAAGATGTCCGTAGCCTTTAAGTGTATGGTGGGAAAGCAAACCTATAAATAACCTTCTCAAATTAGAAGTATGGCAAAAACATGGCAGCACTAAAAAATAACACCTCCATTCAAGAGCATCAATACAGAACTGCACTAAAGTAAAGGACCAAGTAATCTAGAGCTATAACCATAAGAGTCAAAAATAAAACATCTGAGGTTCAGGTGGCATTGAAAGTTTCAGATCTTGAACACTAAGTGTGACATGATACAACAGGCTGTGAATGTAAACAGATGGCAGCATTTCAACAACTGTCCATTAAACTGCCTTAAAATTGCAGCAAATATAAATTGAAAAACCCCAGAGCTTTATAAACAAACTCCAGACATGAGAGAAGTATTTTCTCACCAACATACTATTTTCACAGTAAACATGACTGTATGATTTTCTGTGGTTTGCAAGAGGAAACGTGAAATATTTTCCATCAGAGTCCTTAAAAGAAAAAAAAAGCTCATTAGTAAAAAAAAACAAAATAAAACAAAAATAAACATAAAAACACAATGAGGAAAAAACGTTACTTACATTGTAAACTGAATAAGTCCATTTTGAGGCTTTGACTGTAATCCACATGAAAATCCCTACAAAAAAACCCCATGTTTTTATATGACACACTGCAGGAACTATTATTCTTTTATCCAAAATCTGATATTTTACTTATTACCAAGGTCTTATTTCTTATCTGTAGATGGACATAAACTCTGTAAGTTTTAACCAACATTGAGGAAACAGCAAAATCCCAAGACCTTGTTATTAAATACTAATTGTAAAATAAAAACCCTACGGATCTTGAAACCAAGATCTAAAGGCAACAAAACAAATAAACTGAACATTACTAATGTAATTACAGGGTGACTGATTAAATATATACGGCAACAGCCCCAATCTATGTTCCTGTCAGCCTTTTTAAAACAATGTCAATTGTCACACAAGCAGGTTAATACCTCTCTTCCATGTAACTGGAGTAACAAGTCCATCACAGAAATTCCTCTAAGTGTCAAGAGCTCAGCACAAATAGGAAGATACCAACATGAAATAAAATTTAAAAGTATTCCTCCTTATTGCTAAAAACTGACCCCCCCAAAAAGGTGAACAAACAAACAAAATCAGTTTCACAACCTCTCTGGGTACCTGTTTGTTTGACCACCTTCCTGGGTGAAGTACTTTTTCCTAACATCCAACTGGAATGTCTCTTGTTGCAACAGGATTCTACTGCCTATTGTACTACCACTGTTCACCTCTGAGGAAAATCTAACTTCATCTTCTCTCCAGTCTTTCATTTAGGTGGTTGAAGACAGCAACAGGATTCCCCTCAGCATTCTCTTTAGGGTGAAAAACTGCAGTTAAATCAAACTTTTTCCCCCATTTCCTACGCCTCAGGACTAACCATTTTAGTGGTCTTCCACTCCAATACTCACTTCAGTACATGCCAATGCCTAAATTCCTTCTTATCAAAGGTAATCAAATCTGGATGCCAAAGTACAAGCTACTTTAGTATTTCTGCAATATCTTACATTGAAATAAATGAAATGATTTACTGAAATAAAATGGTTTTCATAAAATGCTTCAGCCCAGGTCAGCAAAACTTGGAATAAAGCTGTGCCCTACTAAAGTTGTGTTTAGTCCCCAAGACTCCACATAGTAAAAATTTCTCACTTTTAGCTACCCATTCTGAGGAAGACAATTTACAAGGAAACTCTTGGTGGGCACTCCATCTTACCCTGAAGGGTCATGGGAAAAAGGAAGTGATTGATGAGTCAGATCTGAACATTCAGGACTTCCACGAGTAGCACAAAACTAACATAAGGCTCTAGAACACCCATACTATCCCTCTGGCAAGCACAGGATATAAGAGTAGATTAGACTTTTGACATCCAGCTATTCCCAGTTCCTGAGATTTTTTTTTTATTGGACATCCCGGTGTAAATATGACTCCTGTGCATCCTCCAGAATTCAAGCTATATAAAAGTGACAGATTTTTGCTCCTACCCCTTTGAAACTCTTTAATAACCAAGTGAAACCAAGCAAAAGCTGATCTTTCAGGTCTGTGTCCTGTATATCATTTTAGAAATGTCTAAAGAAGGACAAAGTGTATTCCAAAACTTTGTTAGTGAGAAGTTTAACTATTAACAAAGGAGTATCACTGAATCCTATTCAAAAGAAAACTGTTGCACACCTGGGAGTTGTGTAAAAACTTCAGGATTTTCCTCAAATATCTTTGCAGGGTGTCTTACAAAGTGGTGATTCAGTACAGACATTCTCTTCTTTGGATCCTCAGTTATCTAAAAAAGAGAGCCCATCATCAAATTTTTACCAATATGTGTGATTTAAGATCATCACATGATCACAGCTAACAAAAACCATACAGTTTTGTGGATGAAAGGCAGGAGAGATTGTGAGAAGACATAGTACCTTTTCTCTTCTAAATTCAATAACTCGAACAGAAAAGTGCCATCAATAATCAATCACTGCAATACAGAAAGCCTATACATCATAAAGCATAGCTGAAATTTCCAGAAGTTTTATATCCTCACCTACTCTTAACACAAGGAAACCATTCCATTAAACTTTCTTGATAGACACACATGAATTCTTCCTGAAATAACACACTAATGTCAGAGCTTAGGAAAAATTCTCACATTTAGGTTTACTAATCTCAGTTCACAAGTCCAGCTTGCCCTACATCTCTTCTGACTATTTCAAGCATCTCAACATCTGTAAAGCTACACTAGGATTCGCTTTTGTTCGGGGATGGGATTTGTGGGGGTTTTTTTCATTTTTTTGTTTCATTGGTTTGGTTTTGTTTTTCCCAACCAAATTTTTCCAGGACTAATTTTTGTTTCAAAATTTGTGGTCATTACAACTGATTTATGAAAACTTTTTACTTCCAGCACAGTCAGTAAACCAACAACTGTATGCCCTTTTCATCTCTCTAAATCACACATTGAGTACACGTGAGAAACTAGAGAAGTCTGCTACGAACAGCCTCAAAAAGAACACCTGGAGTCCTCCCTCTGCTATATCTGAGGCTCTGCTCTGATGTATTTTCAACCCTTTGGGCCTTAATTCCAGTTCCTGATAATTGCTGCATGACTTAGTAGCAAGAAAACTGTACAACATGAGATTCTCCAGGAGTTTTCCAAAAGTAAGATGTAGGATATTAATTCAGAAAAGCCATAAATAACAGTAGCTGGCGGTGTAGAAATATGCAGGTACTTTACTTGAATTCTGTTTTCGTAAGTGGTTTTTGAAAAAAAAAACAAACTCCATAAATATATGCTGGTCACTATGATCACCACACATCCTTTTTCATCCTTTGTATACTGATCAGAGAGGGTGACTTGAACACACACTGAGAGGTCACATTCACAGCTACACAGCTAACAAAATCTGTTTATCCTTGTGCAAGGTCAACTGAACCTGCTGCATTGGAAGAAATGTTTGGCCCATACCCCAGCAGCTATAAAGCACAAGAAGTCAATAATGAAAACTGAGTAAACCTCTAATTACTTCTGACACATTGGTCAAACAACAAAGTCACAGAATGTTTCAGGGACTGGGACAAAATGACAAGAATTTTCTCAGCATGACTTAGAATAATCAAAAAGGAGTTTTCTGTATGATAGGAAGATATTTCTCCTGACTAAGCATTCTGGGACGAAAGAAGAAAGTGTCATGGGTAAATATACAGGAGATCACATATACAGACCTGCCTTGTGTTTTCATCTATGAGATCAAATAAAGCTCTAATGGTCGCCAGGATCAGTTCTTTGCACCTAGATGAAAGAAGCAGCAAAATTAAATCTAGTAAGCAAATATCCAGGGTAGTAGAAGTGGTCAGAAGAGACATCAGCACCATAATATTATGCTGAAGTTAAAATATGGTTTAAATTGATAACAGTAGAGAACAGAGGTATGCACAGCCAGTCAATTAACCTTTGTTCCATTACTTACCACACTATGGAGAGATGGTCAGTTGAGGCCCAAGCTCTAGGCACAGCTGAGCTCTGTTTGGGGAAAGAAAAAAGTTAATCTTTTGTTAGTATTCAACATTTTCAAATTACAAGCAAGTCTTTTCCCCCTTATTTAAATACTTGTGCAATTATTAAAAAGAACAGTGTTTCTCTTAAGAGTTTCAGGGCCTAGGGTAAAATAGAATGACTTCTTCAGTCAAAGATCTTACAAGTGATGAAGCCCTTGTAAAATGACAAATATAAAATACCAAGTTATCTATGTTGGATAGCAGAGACTAAAGGTGAAAGGGCAAATTATGGTGTGGAGCAAACTTACCAAAAATTTCTTCAAAGACTGCTTCTATGACTAATCTTACTATTTTAATAATTGATCCTGGCACACAAGAATAGAAGCATGCCAATAAAAGCTGCTGTAGAAAAATCAAGGACATTCTCAATAAAAAGAAGCATCAGAACACCACGCAGAAAGACCTGGCCACTCTGAAGCTATTCATTTGTGTAAGTGTATTGCACATATCACATTTTAGGGTCTAACAACATCAAAAACACCTCCCACAGATGCAGCTCATCACCTGTCTGCACAACCTGAAGCTATGAACCATTAGTGCATTACACCTGGGATGAAATAAAAAAAACCAAACTGAACAACCACAACACAGCCCCCAAAACAAAACACAGAAGTGGTACCACTACTCGTGAAACCTCATGCAACATTCTGGTCACCAACACACAAGAGAAATGAAAGTAGAGCAGATGCAGAGAATGGTTACTAGGACAAAGAGAATGCAGAGTTAATCTTCTCAGCCTAGCAGGATCTGAGCTGAGACTATTTATAGACAGCTTTCTGTACAACAGACAGGGAGGTAAACACCAAGGGAATGACAACTATTTCAGATAACATTTCAAGCTGATGTCAAAACAAATGCGTTAAAAGACTGGTTTGCACAGTAAATGGAAGTTGGAAATTACAAATTTTCTCCCTGTGCTGAGGGAGAACAGGTAGGGAACAGGTTAATGGAGAGGGGATGGAATGACAAACCTGAATACTTTCTGATGTCTCTTGATTAATTTTGAAAGGATAGATGCCTGCAAAAGCAGAAGACTGGACTTGATGATCCTCTAAATCCTTTCTATTCCTAAACTCTTTGAAAAACAATAAATACAAAAAGAAGGCTCCATGCCAGAGCTCTCTTTCTATAATCAAACCAGCACTCAACTTCTGTGCTGCACATCTGCCAGTCTCTACACATACATCTCTTGCAAAAATGCAGAGGAATAAGAACTGATATAGTGTAAGAAGGATGTAAGAAGAAATGGTACCAAGTGGTAGATTTATACTACATCAACTACTTACGATCTTATACCCACATACTATCTACTTTGTGTTTTCACATGTAGTATTTTCATATTTATTTACACTACGCTGCACACAAAGACTGTAATCAGACATCAAAACATGCATTACACAAATGGCTATCTAACCATGCAAAACCAAAAAAAAAAATAGTTTGCTTTTTTACCACAACAGATAAGGCACTGTCATGTTGACTCAATCTCGGTAGAAAAGCCAGTCCTGAACGAACTTGGTAATCTCTGAATCCTCCCGCCACAGAAAGGGTAGTTAAATTTCTTAAATCTTGGGCCTTTAGCATCCAATGATTGTTTACAGCTGTATAAAAATCTATAAAATATATTAAAATCAATCACAATTTTCCCATAAGCCTATTTCATATACAAGAAAAGCTACATAAACATTTAACTAAAAGTTTTTGAATCCTAGAGGATTCTGAGCTCTGATTAGCACTTTTGATTCATATAAGAGAAGAAAATTATTGTTTTAGCCCCAAGGAGGTAGCAGTTAGGAAAGACAGATACACTTAATACTTTCTACACCAGCTGAGCACATACATTGTTAAAGTAGCAAACCACAGATTTATTTGAAGGACAGCCATGGTCCAGAAACAGTCAGCAAGGAAGGGGTATTGCATTGAAATCAATTGTAGGAGGGGGAATTAATACAAGCACAATAAATCAAATCCAGCAGCTCAAGATAATCCATTCCTCTTGGGTGTCACAGACAATAATGAAAATGAGTGTCTCTTCCCCTTCCCTCACCAATTCCCTTGGTATCTACATGTAGCAGCAGAATTATCACTACGCACATATTTAATCAATACAGTTTAATCAAATCTAGCTTTTTCAAGAAGTGTACAGAACATGCATAATGATTATTCTTTATTTTTATGTCATAGCTATTTACGTGAGGAGAAATAATGACCTTTTTCTGCAAATATATTATATAAAATATATTATTCAATATTCTTACATCCACCACTTTTGGACATGAAAAATATTAACTTTATAAACTTCTACCAAAATTATGCTATTTAGACAATTAACTTGAAAAAGAAAGCCATTACAGAGCTCAAGTTTTAAAAGAGGGTAAAAAAAAAAAAAAAGGAAAGAAAAAACCATCACTCACTGGGGAGCTTACAAAATTTAGTAACATGACCTGCAACTTATTAAAATCACAAATTATCGAGAGCTCCAGGCCTTGCACAGAAGCTCGAGTCCACATAATCCATTTTATACAACACTTGACTTTCTCTGAGTATCCTGGTGCTCTCAGACAACCACCCAAGTAGTAAAAGATCAGATTAATTACAGTAAACAAAGCAGCAGATTTGAAAGAATCTCACCTATAAATACTTGAGTGGAACAACAAAGAAATGCGGTGTAACCAGGTGACCCGCAGTACTCACCGGTGAGATATCGGTCTAAAGGCATTACAGGTGCAACGTGAGGTGTGGCTTGTGTAATCAGGAGGTTGATGAGCTCAGGCTTAAAGCTCTTCAGAGTGAGCAACGCTCTGGCAACCAGACCACCCATAGAATGACCTACTATTGCAACGCTGGTCGGTGCAAAGTCGCCTTCCTTAAGCAAAGAGTAATTAGACACATCAAAAACTAGTCTGACGCTGAATTATGGTTATTAGTTGAAGATTTTTTCCCCCAAAAATTAACTTATGGCCTTTCAAGGATAACATTAACTAGCATCAATTTGACAAGGTTACAAAATGAGTATAAATTTAGTTTCTAGTTCAAAAAATGTGCTTAGTATGAAGTTTCTAGCTCAAAAAGAAATACTAAGTACCTTGTGTAAACACAACTTAAACTTATTTTAATCTCTGAGACTCTTAGGAACAGAGAATACCAAAGAACTTTCCTGGAGAAAATTGGATTTGAGGCAATGCTATATTAATATATTTTAAAAAGCTAGAGAAAGTTTACATCTCTGCTAGAAAAAAGCATACACCGTGCATGGAGGTATTTATTTAGAAACACAATACAGAACCAAACCAAAGCTCTGGGATTGTCACAAGCAATAAGAATCTGTTCAGGAGAAGCAAATCTCTGTTGCATCATTATCACTTTCAATTATCTATACACATTATAAAGCCTCCCTCCCTTATTCATCACTCTTCAGTTTTCCAGCAGAAAAGGCACCTAAAATTCTATTCCCACATGCAAGTTCATTACTCAGCATATGTCACTGCTTACCCTGTACAACTTAAGAATTACTTTTATGCATTCATGCACAAACTTGGTCTGTCGTTGCAGACTGCCACCATACAATGCAACCAACTCCTCATTAAAGTTGACACTGAAGAAGTTAAAATGATACTTGAAGTCAACATCTTCTGCTTTCCTAAGTGCAATGGAGCCAAGAGAACGCACTAGAAAAAGAAACCACATGAATTAGAACAGTCTAATAGTCACTGCTTAGCGCAATCTTTAGTAGCCAAACACGTAAACAGAGAATCTATTAAGAAAAACTGTTTTATTAAATCCATTGTTTATCTCAAGGCATTTAAAAAAGACATCCAAAAGCAGACAATCTCCTTTGAGCTTATCACTGGCTACAAGGACATTTTATGTCAAATACAAATTTATACAAGGATCAAGGATTATGCTCCTCCACCCAAGGGCTGCTTTTTTCATCTCATTTTCACCTTCCTACTGCCACCAGGACAAGAAGGCAAACTGAGCATTCTTGATTTCAACTGTAGAGGTATTCCTCCTGCTAGGCTTTCCTAAAACTCCTTTGAAGACTATCAGCTCTATAACAACATTACCAAATACCACCAAAATACATAAAGGGGGATTGCAAACCCAAACCCTATGTGACACTTTTCCATCTAAAACCTTGAGGGAGAAAATGTTCAGTTTACAAGGTCTTGCCTCTGACCTGTCTAACCCTGTCTAAGCCTGGCTGCTATTTAATACAGCCTTTCAAGCACAGAATTGTCCCCAAGTTTCCATGGAGACATGACAGGATGGGAACAGTAACAGTTGAAAATAAAAATGCATGGTAAGAAAGAATAAAATAAAAGAGAAAGTCCGAAAGACAAGTATATAAAATAACTAATGGCTGCCAGAAAGGTGTGCCCAGGTCCAGCACACAGGAGCAAGATTCTCCTAGAGTACAACAGACCGAGGGAACTGCAGAACCCTCCTTCTCAGAAAAGTCTGCTACAGAAATAAAGTATCAAACAAATTTCAGAGAGGCTCCTGAAATGGGACAGTTATGTTTATGAAGTACTTTGCGTGTTTAAGCACCCAAACACATATTATCAGTGTGATAAAATTATAAATCTGATTTGTAATCAATCTCTATCTGTAGCTAATAAGCTATAAGTCTGCCTTCAAAATGGTTTGAAAATACCTAAAAAGTATTTGAAAGATCAAGTATCTTATCACAATCTTATATCTCGGAGGTCATGGTAAAAGGAACAAGAATATTGCACAAGAATATCACAAGGCAAATGTGTGACAGATTGCCAAACAAAACCCAGGATCTCAGTTCTCCCAATCTCAGGTTCATTCCCAAATCATCTTTTACTCAAAGTCTGAATTTCGTACATTTTACAAAGCTCCTTTTAGTGCCCATGAAAGATGATGAATTAATGTATCAAAGGTGCCAGTAACACACTCAAACCTCCCAAAAGGCAGTCCCAGCGAGGTGGGATCAGCCTCTTCTCCGAAGTGTCAAGGGAAAGGACAAGAGGAAATGGCCTCAAGTTGCACCAGGGGAGGTTTAGACTGGATCTTAGGAAACATTTCTTCTCCTAAAGGGTGGTCAGGCACTGGAACAGGCTGCCCAGGGCAGTGGTGGATTCACCATCCCTGGAGGCATTTAAAAACTGTGCAGATGTGGCCCTTCAGGGACCTGGTTTAGCAGTGGGCTTGGCAGTGCTGGGTAATGGTTGGACTTGATAATCTGAAAGGCCCTTTTTAACCTAAATGATTTTATGAAAATAAGTCCAGCAAAGGCAGCAGCAGCACTTTTGTCCTCATTGCTCAGCAAACATGAATATATTTTAAACTAATACGAAAATTGCAATAGCAACACCTTCCCTGTTTAACTAAATATTTATATTTGTCTATAGTATAAAATTGTGCTATCTGACAATAAATTCTGAACAAAATAAGAATTTCCATAAATTCCACAGTAAAACAAAAAAATATTCTCAGTCACTGAATAATTTATTTTAACAAAGGTTTTGTATAATGCACATATGACTTATATTTGCCAGTCTCTCTAACTCAGTTTCTCAAAGAATATATATTGAAATATTTACTAAATATTTACTAACTTTAAGCAACACACTATATCAACAATATGTAGTATCTCTACTCACCTAATTTTTTTTATTCTTCAAAATTATATTTTGAAATAAAATATTATCAAAAAAATACTTCCTTTTGATTCTTAACATGCCTTGAAAGTACAATTCTATTTACTGCCTAGTGATGTACTGTTGTGAATTTAGAGACAGCATTAATTCACAGATTTGCAATACTTGATGCACAATTACAAAAGCCCATATGGCATCTCTCATAACCATTATGTCTGTAATCTTCTTTGGATGGTATTGTGCCTGGAAGTCTGTATGGGTTTTCTAAAAGTACAAGTTGGTAAAATATTTGATGTTGTTATAAGCTAAGAGAGTATGTTCTCAAAAAAACCCCAAACTCCGTAAAGGTTCTCTGAAATCAGATAATTTAATCACCAAGTTCAGTGCAAACAGAAGGAAAAGTTACCACAGTAAGACATCAGGGTTCAGAGTATGGTGGTTTTCCCCACAGGTACTTTTGCTAACACAGTGAGAGTGTTACTGTTCCAAAGCACATTTTAGAGAACAAAAATAACTATCTGACAAACCCAGCCTGGAAGGAATTGCAGATATCAGGGTAAATCCTGAAACACAAAACTTCATGTTCATCAAATGATTAGCTTTGGTATTCACAATGAAAAATAAAAATGCTTTAAAGCTATTACTTCCTTTCATTTGGAACCTGGAAGCATACGAGGGAATAACCTGGGAAACAAAAGCAGGCGGTATGTGAAGTGAGAAGATGATGTGGAGGAAAAAACACCACTACATAAAGAAGCAGGAAATAATGAAGCTACAGGGCAAGCCACAAGATGCTGCTCATTCCTAAAGCATGTAATTCCTTCACATCACAGATGACAGAGGGTTCAGTCTCTTCTAATCAAATTCAGGTCTTGTTTTATTTGGTATAAACTGTATAAAACATTGTTCAAATCAAAACCAACTGGATGTTTGCAAACAAAGGTAGAGGAAGGGCGTGGTGCTGCCATATTACAGTATATTACATATACTGTTTCTGGCTTTCAAAGGTTAAAGCCTCACTCCAGAGAAATAGTATGGCTGAAATATTTAACTGATTTCAAACAAAAATAATGTATTTTGACTGTCTGAAATTAAACATGGACTAACAAGGATATCTATATCATAATATGATCAATCATTATGACTCTGAATGATATTATTTCAAACAGAAAACTAAATAATGCATAAATGTGAGAGCCTTTTTTGTAACATATCTATAACTTTGCTAAACACTTACCTTGTTTGTAACTGCCAGCATTCCCAGGAAGAAAAAGAACTGGAATTCCTGTCAATGGGAGATTTTTGTTTTCTTCAGCGTAGTTCCCTTCCCCATAGAGATAGAGCTCATAGGCTGGGTATCGTCTGGCTGTTTTCTTAGGTAATTTTATTTTCTATTGCAAAAGTTAAAAAGAAAACAAATACTTTGTTTACAGTGTTACAAACAAGAAAATAGAGTGGCTATACAGCCATTTAAATGATCTGGCTTCTACTTTATGTATGGTTTTAAGTTACAGCCTAAAGAATATCGAATGAAAACTGGAGTTTGCCTTAAAAAAACTAATTAAAGTATCAAGTCTATTGTTCAAGTAGGTATTGCTGTGCAGAACGAATGGCTGCAGTTACTCAAAACAGGAATTAACTTTAACTAGCTTTGAAACAAACTGCACAATCACAAAGTAAACCCAGCTTATAATACAAGGGTGGAAGGGAAAAAAAAGTCATGCCCAACCACTTCTCCCAGGACAAGAGAATCTGAGACCAGAAATTGGGGCTTGTGAGTGATCCTCATTATTCCTGCTCCACTGGAATGGTTCTGGAATCCTTTCTGATACAACATAACTGAGAACAAGGACTTGCTGCCGCACTTGATACGAAACTAAATCTCGAGCACAGGCTTATGTAGGTGATGGTCAGATGGCATCTGTTACGTCAGGGTAAATTACAGATATCGTGTGAATTCTCCTAGGTGATTTTTACAGAGGTGTCACCTGCAATGGGAGTTAAAACAACATTTGTAACCACCCCAACATGGCTCATCAGAAAAAAAACAACCCATACTTCGGTGCTTTTCCTGTTTGTTTCATTTTCAGAGTTGGTTTTGTGGCCTAGTGACAAACCACCTGGTTTTATAACGACTCAGGGTCCAATTTACATGTCAGCTGTCATCTTAAAAAGGACCATCTTACTTGTATTAAAGCCAAGAAGAATACAGTTAACCCCCTAACCTATCACTTAACCACAGGATTACGATTTCCAAACAGAAAAGAACAAAATCTCTTTGAACCTGAGGGCTGGGTCAGGATTAATCTTAGACCATTAAGTCATGACTCTTAAGAGTCATGTGACACTGTTTTAAACCAAACAAGTAGCAAACAACAACACATTTCATTAATTCTTGCATGGAGGAGGTTGGTTGGTTTATAACTCTGAATTTCTAAGATACAGATTTTTAAAATTTTGATGAATGCAAATGGAGTTGTTCCAACCTCTGATTAATCATATTACACCCATTGAGAGATAAATAAGACAATAAAAAACCAAATGCATTAAGGTATAATTTATAATTTAAGGAAAAACTTCCGCAGAATAAGGTCAAAACTGAACTCAGTTTTACATCATAAATCTTCTCTGAAGTCTTTCTTAATTGTTTTCATGAAATAGAAATGTCTCTATTTCAAATATTTCATTTTTTCTCTCAGCTGCATCTACAATAAAGGTTATTCAGCTTTAATTCCCTACCCACATGTTCCTTCCCTTCCCCTTTTCTTCCCTGTCTCTTCTCACCTAGAGACTATTTTCCTTCTCCTTTAGCCTTCAAATTGTTTGACATATTGGCTATTTGCAACCTTTTCTCATGATGTTTGATATATATATTTAAAATTTATATTCTCTATGCATTATTTATTTTTTAATTATATTATTAATTAATGAAGTAGAAAGAGCGTGTTTCATTCTTTCACTGTGAACAAAACAGGCTAAGCTTCATTCAGGGCTTATGTCTTCAGATCATCCTTTCAATGGTCTTTCCCTTTTCTCTATCATCATTTCTTTGCAACTTCACTGACCTTACTGCCCCATTCTCAATCCTTTGTGCTGCTCCTTTTTCAAAGGCTCTCAAAATTATGTGAAAAAAAAACTTCATCAGTTTCCATTACTGAACTAAGAGTGCCATCAAGATATGCTCATACGCTTTCCTGGCAGATCAAACTAACTGTTCTTCCACAGTATCTTCCTGGTTCATTGTCTTTCAAAACTTTTACATAACATAACATTCGCAAGCTGTCCTTCTCTGGGTCAATGTCAAAAGCAAAAACCCCCCACACCCCCCATGAGAACTGTACTACCAAAATACTGCAGAGGTGTTTTGGTAAATTACAGTGCTCAAATTTTATAAACAAAATAGCAATGCATAACTCCAAAGGAAAACAGACCTTCATGTTTCATGACAGTGGATTTAAATTCTGAATTCCCAAGACATGGTTTACGTAATCGGTAGTAGCAAGCTACAGTAACTTTTTACAATGTCAGTGACGGTTTCATTTTTTCACCCTGGTTTCCAAAGAAATTAGGTTTATGTGAAAAAGTCCTCATTACTAACTTCTGAACCTCTTACCAAGTATAGGACAGGACAAGCGCACATTAAATTCAAGTACTGCAACTCTACAACTCATATAAGAAAAGATCATTCAGTGCGAAAAAGAAAATCTAAAGTGATTCCATTACTTAGCATTAGGCTGACTGTGAGCTAACCCACACTGACAGACACAAAAGTAATGAAACTTCTTCTTTAAGTGTCCAAGTAGTTCTTGGGTTTGTAACGTGACATCAACCCGGAAGCAAGGAGAGGTACCTCCTACCTGGAACTCACACTCTGCGATTTCCTACCAAAGCCAGCACTATAAAGACATGAAAAATCAAACACACAACCCCTCCAACAGTAAAGAGGTACTTGAAATGTATAATGCCTACCCAAACCCCAAGGTACTGTTTTCTACACAGTGAAAGTGATTACTCGGGAAACAGAAATTCCGGGAGACAACACAGCCAGCAGTGACTTGCATCACCTGCACGGAGCTACCACAACAGCTGCCTAAAGATGCTCAGTTTAAGCTCTGACATAATGAGTAAACACAAAAGACGTGTGGTGGCTGACAAGAATTTCAGACAACCGCCAATTACGCGACACAGATTTTGCTCGTAACTTTCTGTTGTTTGGCTCCAGATTGAAGCTGAAGTGGGTTTTGGCTGCCAGGAGATCTGAAAGCTTGCCGCGCAATATTTAAGAATTCATAACTGCTTAAACAAATTTGTCCTACAGCATTGACAAAAACAACCCTTGTAGCTATACAAAGTTTCTCTTTTGTAGACTAACATGACTATGTCGAGGTTAGCAATTGAAGGTTAACAGATCCAAAAATTAACTTTCTGCTTTATTGACAAATTAGGTACTAAAGCTTTGCTTTTAGATCTTCTTTACTATGCAAGCCAGCTTGCAACCTACTTTGGAATAGAATATTATTTAAAATACTTCATATTTTTTCCAACATAGATCTTAGATAATGTTAAATGAATGTTTAGAAGCCAACAAATTATGCTTTTAATAAGATAGAAAATGCTGTAGTAACAACTATTAGTAGAAAGAGAAACTGTTTTCTATCAACTGCATGCAGCATTAGCAGCGAACCTACAGATACATATTTACATCCTCCCACTATTAAGTCAGAATAGCATGTCTGGAAAATAGACATGTTCCAGCAGCAGTTCCCTCTCTCAGACTGGTCCCAGACTCCTACAAGCCTCTGTTAGCAAACGAAGAGGGACCTCAGATACATTTACAACTTACTTCTCCCATACACTGCAGGACATGCCACCTCTTAAGTGCTCACAGAGAGAACTTCGTTCTACTGTTCACTGCCTTGAGAAATACACACCTATTCAAACTTCCGTTTTGTGCTTTTTTGACACATTAATTGCTTCACACCACAAAGTCATGAATGGGGCCAAGAAGTGCAAGGCTCGGCCTCCTGGGCACTGGCAGTGCTGTGAGTGCTGTCAAAGGAGCTGGCCCAGCCCCTTCCTTCGCCAACGCTCGGGTGAGCTTCTGACGGGATTTACCGCGGCTACAGGTAACTACAGGCATTAGCAGGTTAGAATGCGGGAAGGTTTTGTACCAGCGGCAGTTCGAAACACCCCGCTGGTTACAGGTGGGCAGCTCTTCCCACCGGCACCTCCCGAGGGGCACCGCCACGCGAGGTGGGCACAGCAGCGCCTGCTGCCCGCACACGGACCCCTCACCGGCCCGCCCTGCCCCTGCCCCTGCCCCATTTAGCGCTCGCCGCCCCGCAGAGGCCGCCTCAGCTCTCCAGCGAAGCGCCGAGCCGGGGCAGGTCTCCCTTCCCGCGGGGAGCGCGGCAGGGCTGTGACTCAGGCTCCGGCTTCTCCCGGCTCCGGCCGCGGCGGGGCGGGCGGCGACGCCCCAGGCGCGGCGGGTCCCACCTGTTACACGCCGCCGCACTCACCAGGTACTCGGGGTACTCGTACATGTAGGTCATGCTGCACCGGTTCTCCTCGTAGACGAGCAGCACGTCCCGCACCCCCAGCAGCACCAGCGCCGCCAGCGCCCCGTAGAAGAGCGCGGCCAGCGCGGGCAGCCGGCGGCCCGCCCGCCCCATGGCGCCCCGCGGAGCGGAGCGCTGCTCCCCGCGGGCTGCCCGCGCACAGGCACGGCGGGGCGGGGCGGGGCGGGAGCGCCACCGCCCGGGAGGCGGAGCGGGCGGGCGGGGTCCCCACAACCTGCCCGTCGCCGGGGGCGGCCGCCATGTTGGGGAGGTCGGGCGGGCGCTGGGCTGAGGGGCCCGCCCGCCATGTCGCGGCTCGCGGGGGAGGCGTGTCCGCCATGATGGGGAGGGCGGGTCAGCGCTGCGGCGGCGCCGAGCCGGGAACCTGAGAGGAACCCTGCCCCTACCCCGCCTCAGCTCAGCTGGCCGAAAGTAAACCTACATACCCCCGCGGGAGGTGCTCCTGCGGACTCCGCCCTGGTGAGAGTACGAAACACCCCAGTTCAGTGAGAAATGTCCATAAAGCCTCTGGCAGTCACCACATATAAGGCGGGGTAGATGGTGGTTGGTGGGGTTGGGTTTTGTTCGTTTGTGGATTTTGTTTTGTTTGTTTGTTTGAATTCAATTACATTTTACACCTCAGTATCTATCCTTCGCTAGCTTTAGGCACTCTGCTTCATTTTATTCCCTGTGGAACTGCTGCCCCAGCCCGCTGCAGGGCACACCCAGGACCCAGGACTGCTGGTGTTGCTCACCAGAGAAAAACAACAGTAAAGCACTTATTAACTCACCAAAACAAAACAAAACAACAACAACAAAAAAAAAACAACAACAACAACAACAACAAACAAACCACAAAAAAACCCACTCACCTCTTCTACAGAGGAAGCAATACAAAAACCTTCCTAAATACAAAAATACAAAAAGCTTCCTAAAGCAAGGGATATTCACATACGAGGGAAGTACAGAGTGCCTATACATATAGTTGCGTTCTTCATCTTCACTGCTAAATGCTTAAGCCTCTCTCCCCACTTCCCCCATTAAAAGAAATTTTACTCAGTTCTCCAACAGTATTTGTACCATTTTTATTTGTAAAAATAACCATCTGAATGCATGGCAAGAGTAGTTTACAGTTAGGGTTCTTTATTACATTAATACAGCATTCAGTAGTTGAAAAAGTTATTAAACTGTGCTTGAGAAGATTCAGGTTGAATTCAAAGTCATTCACCGAATTAACTTTTTTCCTCATTTTATATGTGACATTTACCCAAGTCCTTAAACTTCAATTTACAAAAGCAAACAATACCGACAAAACCCCACTGAAACCGTCAAACAATATTTTATATTGTTTATTACAAATGTTATGCAAAATATAACACTGGCACCAGATGCGTATCACCATGGTTTGTAAAGATATATTGCACATGCTAAAGCATAAAATATAAGACAAAACCTACAAAACATAAGATATTGGCTTTAATATGTAGATCACTGCATAAGAAACGCATAAAATTACATTTTATACACACACTCAGATTGTCACCAGTTTAAAACGCCCTTTCCTATAACACTGACCTAAGGTTTAATTTTTGTGTAATAAGAAAGCATTTTCAGCACTGCAAAAATTATACATTATTCCTATAGAAATTTAGCAGATTAATTTTCATTTCAATGCAGGTAGAACATATGAAAAGAAGAAACACTTTATACATTCAAAGAAGGTCTGAAATGAAAATTTACTGGTAATATATTGCTTTTATAACACTCAAATGAAAAAAAAAAAAAGACAAGTTTCACAAAACATTTCCATTATACACAAATATAAAAAGGCACTCTAATATTTCTTACATGACTAAGAATAAAAATCACAATTTTTTTTTTTTAAATCATTCTCAAGATACATAACCAAGTTTCTCAACAGTACAATGGATAAACAATTCTTTTCATGTGTTTGTTCTAATTCAATAACCTGGCAGTTGTTTACTGCATAAAAGTACCAAACACATTATGGTGCCCTTTTAATAGCGATGAACAGAAATCCCCTGAGCTATTTCACAGCAATTTCAGGCAGTCCGGAGGTTGTAACTCAGTATTTATGAGAGAGACTTGGGACCCCATCCTGCTATGGATTCCACCTGCAGCTGTGGTTAAAATACAGGATGAAACGATCCTGCTAATACACCTGGGCAGGCAGCTGCCCCTCCCCGAATACCCTTTGCTTGGTGCAGACACAGAAGTTGTCCATGTACTGTAAATTGCAGGATCCAGAGTTAAGTGCAACAATTATGTGTGATTACTCTTGTAAAAAAGTCCACAGAAAGGCAAGGAGATTATTTACAAGAGTAAAATTACTCCCATGCTTAAATACCTGCCCTAAACTACACATATGTTTCTGCATGTGATAAATTACAGATTAATGTACTAGCATAAAAAAAAAAAAGGGATTCTGCTGACTCACGTGAGACGTGGGACAGGCCAACACTGAGAACTTCCAAGTGTCGCTCGTGGCAGATTTCCTCCTCAATACAGCACCCTCAAAACACGTCCACAATGCCCTCAAGGGGCAAACACAGCATACGTTCCAATGATTTTTGGAATACTGCATACTGACAGCACTGCTAGTTTATGGAAGAGCTTAATGGGTAAAGGGTAGATTTGGTCCCTAGAAGGATCAGCATAATTCACCTCTGCTTCTGGGATGTTGTGTCCATCACTGAGAGGCAGCAGGTGTTGCACTACACAATTACCAGAGTTACGAGGTATTGCCAGGAGAAATAATTTCACTAACTCTGTCTGGTAGCAAGTAAAAATACTGAAACTCTTTAAATAGCTGCTTAAAATAATGTAACAACTTTTTGTAAAGAGTGCTGGTTTCCTCCTAATGAAGGAATTTCACGTAAGATGGTGTAACTTTCTGTATTTCAGGGTAAGACAGCTAATCCTGCCAAGGAGCCTACCTACATTTCTGCTCAAAGTAAGAATCCTGCTGTTAGACAAGTGGCAGCTATTTCTCATTTATTTGTTTTCAATGCCATCATTCCACATAAAGAATCTAAAATTTGAGAATCCTATACATTTTGGAACAGGCACCACTGAAAACTTTAACAACTGATCTCTCCTCTTATTTTCAGTGCTTAAAGTAAGGTGGTTATTGCTACTCTGCAACTTTAAAAAGGAAACCTGTTGAGAAAAATCAATCATTACAATGTTATTTTGTGCTATTTCTGAGGAGAAAACCAGGGTTTCAGGTGCTCTGTCATTCTACTGCAGAAACTGTAGGGTTGAGAGAAAAAAAAAGACACTATCCCTTGTGTTTTTTTTTTGTTGTAACTTTGGAAAATTGTTAACGTTCAAGGAAAAATATTTAATTTTCACAAGGCAAAATAGAATTAATATTTAAATTTTCTTTCCTAATTAAAGAAATGAAATCTGCCAAGAGATTTTTAACAATTCAGCGGAACATGGCTAAAAATACCACAGCCAAAATAAAAATCCTTCCTTATCATTTCCACTGCCAAAAGCAAGCACCAAGGAAGCTCATCTCACTCTCCCAGCACAGACTGGGCCTGCAGACAACCCGAGCGTGAATCACAGGAGTGTTAACATCTCGGCTCCGGGCTGTGCTACCTTTTCCCCTCTTCACTGCAGCTCTGCAGTGTTTTCTCAGCTGTCTGGCAAGGGGCTGGATCCCTTTCTTACACTCTTTAAACAAGGGAAGGTGTTTTGCTTTCTGCGTTTTACCAACATAGCCTGTGGACCCAACCTTTGCATTCCACACAAGATGATGGGCACTCTCCCAAAGTGCATCCACCCTTCCTTTTGCTACTCGGGCCATCACTCTTGCCTAGATTCACATTTTGTTTCACACCGTGCCAAACAGTATGCATAAATGCTTACTAGGAGAACAAGCCATAGTTATTTTTCCTGGGCATTTGTTTCATTTCAAATAAATAGAAAGACATTTACATTAAAAGTATATGAACATATTTTTTTAGTCTGGAAAAAAAAAAACCCCACCTGTGGTCAACACATCAGTTAAAAATGTCAACTTGAAACCTGCGTCATAAAATGTAAAATTCACTAAAGACTACTCATTACCTCAAAAGTTTATATTTTTATGCTTTAGGAAAAAATACTTCATTATGTCACTCACATTTGAAGAAAAAAATAAAAGTAGCAAAGTCTTCAATTTAATTACTGAAGCATTTTGGTCCTCTTGGTACAGCTGGTTAGTTCATGGTAACTTTTTGTTTGGGTTTTTTTGTTTTTGTTTACAAAGTCTCATTCTTCCTTCTGTACATCTGTTGCAGAGGAGGGTCGTGGTCCGTTTGACCTAGAAACTTTGGCAGAAGGAGTAAACATATTCACAACGCTGACATTGCTGTAAAAGCTGGTGACAATAGGCTTTTTAGCATGTTACCTCCGATCCCCTGCACAGTACACTGCTATTTTCTCTAGTGTTTGGTAATTCAACTTCTGGTGTTACACTTTCATTGCTTTACCTCTGCTCTGTTAATCCAAACACTGTCAAAAGTATTTTAAGAGTTGATACTGTTTACAGTAAAGAT